CTGGGGACTATAGTGTTTCTTTAATGTGAGGTAAATTAGAGCTTAGTGCCACGAATAATATACTAGATTGCCTACTTACAACCAGATGAGGATGATGATGGGCTCTAGCTGCAGTCTGGCTCCACTGGTCTGGTGCAGAACAGGCTCTCTGGAGGCGGTTTGTAACTGTGGTCACAAAAATCAATGTTCTGGGAGAACGGGAAGCAGCTCCATTTTTTGGGGGTCCTTTACACAGCTCAAGGTCTGGGTCCCAGGGTCCACCTTCATGTTCCACCAATGAGTTTGTTCACAGGGGGTGGAGTGTGTAGGGGATGTCCTGATATGTGTGTAAGGAATGCATTGTGTGAAATTGTGTTTGTATGTGTAAGGACTGTAAGGTGTGTTTCTGTGTATGTATGGGATGCATTGAATGTGTGTAAGGGGTGCATTGAGTGTGTGTAATGAATGCATTGTGTGTTTCTGTGTGTGTAAGGGATGCATTGTGTGTAACGGTTGCATTGCTTGTGTATGTGTGTCTGTGTGTTTTTCTGTGTGCAAGGGGTGCATTGTGTGTATGTGATGAATGTCAATCTCTCCTCCCGCTCCAATTTCCTTTCTCCCCCCCTCCTCAATTTCTCTCTCACCCCCCTCTTTTTCTCTCACCCCCTCCTTTCTCTCTCACCCACCCTCCTTTCTTTTCTCACCTCTCTCTCTCACCCTTTTTCACTTTTCTTCTTTTCTCACCCCTTATTTCTCTTTCTCACATTTCTCACCTCTTATTTCTCTCACTCCCTTTCTCTTCTCACTCCCCTTATTTTTTTCTCACCTCTCTCTCACCCCCTTATTTCTTTCTCACCCCCCTTCTGTAACCCTCCCTTCTTTCTTCCCTCCCCCTCTACCTCCCTGTAGCGGGTTGAGCGGGGATAGTCCGGCGGTACAGGGAGCTTTTGTTTCCTGTACCCGCCGGACTAACAGGAAGTGCAGTGTGCACTTCCTGTTAGTCCGGCCGGGTACAGGAGACAGTTGCTCTCTGTACCCGTCGGACTAGCATGCTGCAGTGAGGGAGCTGACATGAGCGCTCCCTCCTGTCAGCCTCTCCTCAGGCTGCGCCCGGGCGGTGCGGTCCGCCCTCATGGACGCACCGCCCGGGCAAAGCTGCAGCCGCCTGAGGCTCTTCACAGAGCGCTCGGGCGGCTGCAGCATGGGGGGGACCGGGGGGCTGGTCATGGCACCCCCCACCCGGCTGGCACCCGGGGCGGACCGCCCCCCCCTTAGTACGCCACTGAGTGAAAGACATGCATCAATAGAACAGCACGGCTCAGGACATTAATACTCATTAGCTGGATTTCCAGATAGAGAGTGGACCATCTACCTTGAATTAGAAATACCCAAATGTATAACATTTACATTATTAATATTGAATGAATACAGGATGAAAGAAATACAAAAAGGAAACTGTAGATCAGAATTAGTTATCCTGCTGTTATCACCTACGTTGCCTATTGTTGAGCATATTGACCTAGATAAGAAGGTGTTTAACCCCTTTCCTCTTAACAAAAATATAACTGTCACTACATCCATTTGCACATAATTTTAGCCCTACAGGAGAATCCATATCTACCAGGATCTGATTCTACCTGTGAATTCTGACACATTAAAGTCCCATGGTCGCATGAAGGGTCAGTGGGCACAGTCTTATAAACATGGGAGGACAGGCAAGACTTGACCTGCAGGGCAACTGCACATAAATAGCCACATTTTTGACTAATCAAACTCCATTCTCTTTCTTTATTTTATATTAAAAGTATAATACGAATGTTTAATATTATATTAAATATAGTATAATAAACAGTTTAGTATTGTGCTGTGATGCAGCAGCACACAATCCTGTTTATAATAGTAGCCCAGTAGAGCAATCGCCACCAGTCCACCCCTGCTTATAAAGTTAAACAGAATGAGCACGAGTCCAACATAACTCCTTGTAATCAGGAGGGGGCTTTGCTATCTGAACATCTCTCCCCATCTGAAGAATTGTGAGATTATAGTAACATTCAATGGCATGTTTACTAAGTGGCCAGCAAAACTTAGAGAAAGCAACAATCATGGCCCTCTCCAACCTTTAATAGAGTTTCACAAGATCCACTCCTGACAAGATGAAATACAAATAAATTGTGGAAGGGCCTGGCATTTCCTTACTTGTTTCTTCCTACATGTGCAGAATTATATGGTTACAAAGTACAATGATATTAATTTAACATATCTTCCTGGCACTTTGTATGCTCAACTCTATATATAAAAAAAAAAAACCAAACAAAAAAAAGTAAGTGGGTTGACCTATGAAGTTCAAATTAAAACATGTTTCTTCTCTCGCAGCTTTGTCCAGAACTCACAAATTAACATTGGAACCTTCCACAAAGGTTGTATACCCAATGCATCACATACCAAAACCAAATATACTGGGAATGCTAAACAGAACTTGTTCCCCCACTGTGCCAGACATGTCTCACAAATGTGGGTGAGAGATTGCCCCTAATTTCTGGTCATGCCCTTCCTTAGGATCATTGTAGTTATTAATCCAAGATTATATTGACAAGGTTATTCAATTCAAATTGATACAGATTCCTACCCACTTTATACTTATGTCTTTACCATAAAAATCCCAAACTAATCCTTATATTATACGATATACACTAGTGGCCAAAACTGTGGAAACGTTTTGGAAAATTTGTATTGGATACATTGTTGGATGGCTCAAAAGTAATGAATTAAAAAAAAAAATTTAAATATAAAATTATATGTTAGAAACTTCATTGAATACAGAATGTAATGAAACAAATTTATTGAATAACCTTTATTGTATCAAAGGTAATAGATAAATAATCAGAAAAAGAAAAACACAACCGTAACATGTAGTAGTATAAAATATTACAATTTACCATATGCGCCCAGGTAAAAGTTGACAATTTAAGCAAAAAAAAAAAAAAAGTATATCTATTATATGTGTGTGTATATATATATCTATCTCAAAAACTGTGAGTTGACTTAACCATGGCAGAGTCAAAAATAAGCAGTTGGCCTAATGCTTTGATATATGCAATGCTTTCACCCTTTGCATACCTCTATCACCTCTGAAATGCTTATCATCGCTGTGCTCATTCGGTTGAGTGTGTTTTGAAAACATTACTCTTGATACACACATTTAAGGAGAACTAGCTGATGACTTTACCACGTGCGGTACTGTATAATTCCTATATAAAAAAACAAAACAAAAAACAAACAAAACAGCTGACTATGTCCCATCGTGCACATACACATCAACTATCGGCAAAAAAGTTCCTACATGCTAATGTTTTGTTTAAACTGGCCATCTTATTAATCGTATGATAAAATAACCAATTGTATAACAATGCAGTAAGTAAAACATTTATAATTTTATATGAAACTGGACTATTGACTTCTGCTGCTCAGCCTATGCCCAAGTGCATGAGTTCACAGACCTAGCCCAGGCCCAATGTAGCACAATATTTTGGGGTCAACCCCCATATAACACCTCTAAAGTTTTGGTGTCTACACTACATTTAAACGTTCTAAAATATTTTTACAGACTCCAGTAAGCCAAAATTGTTCACGACTCCACAACAGAAACATTCATCATACCATTTCTGTTCTTCATATGATAGCAAAAACACTTTCAGATATGGAGGGGCCCTTCATATCTGAAAATGTGTAGAAGATCAAGTGATTTTCTCTCACTTGACTGTGATGGGTTCTAGCTACTAGATGACTGGACAGATCAAGCTTGTATCTCACCATCTGCTGTATAACCAGAAATTAGACTATGCTTTTTAGTGCACTTTATGCAAGTTATAAACCTGATGGGCAGTGGGTACCACCATGCTCCTGGGATGCTCTGGGTGTGCAATCATCGTGATGGGAATTTTAAAGGGACACTATAGTCACCAGAACAAATACAGCTTATTGCATTTGTTCTGGTGAGTAGAATCATTCCCTTCAGGTTTTTTGCAGTCAACACGGTCTTTTCAGAGAAAATGCAGTGTTTACATTACAGCCTAGTGACAACTCCAATGGCCTCTCCTCAGAGGGCTGCTAGAGCCGCTTCCTGTTGCAGTGCCGCACAGTGAGCAGCACTGCTGTTCAGTGTCTCCACCTTCTGCATGGAGACACTGAACTTTCCACATAGAGATGCATTGATTCAATTCATCTCTATGAAGAGATGCTGATTGGCCAGGGCTGTATTTGGCTTGTGCTGGCTCTACCCCTGATCTGCTTCCTTGACAGTCTCAGCCAGTCCTATGGGAAATCATTGGGATTGGCTCAGACCACCACTTCTGATTTTGACAGCAGACAGGGGCAGGTCTCAGCAGACAGGGGCAGAGCCAGCAGCTGCAGACTTGAATACAAGTAAGATTTTACATGTTTATGGAGGCAAAGGGGGCTAGATGGTGGTTTTAATACTATAGGGTCAGGAATACAAGCTTGTGTTCCTGATCCTATAGTGTTCCTTTAATCATTTGCTGAGCTGTGCTAGAATTTAGCTATATCAGTATGTGTCATTTCCTTAGATGTAACATTTAGTCTATAACCACAAACATGAACCTTTATATACACTCAACTAAATGTAATAAAAAAAAAACCTCTCTGTATCCAATAATTTTTAGGCGTGCAAATGTACAAATTATTTCAACCAAATCTATATACATAGTATAAACCTTTTTAAATTCATACCAAGTTCTCTTTAATCCACTAATGTAATCCAATAACTCCTAACATATAGCTTGCATTGAAGTTACCTCTTGACTATTAAATATTCGTTTTAATAACGCTTTGCCAGTATCATATTCTCTTTTGGCTTAATTACCGCTTGATCCTTGTGGCACACTAAGAAGGGCAATGCAGTATCACACCAGCCAAAACAAATGGAATTGGAAAGCCCTTTTCCATTTCAGAATTGCGGCTCTCTGAGCCTTTCCTCCTGATGAAATCTGTAACATATTACAGGTCATTTACTAAACGGGTTTAAAACAACACTAAACGTTTTAAGGAATGTGAAAAAAAGGGAAGCTTTGGCTAAATCCCATATAGTACATGATATTGGATTTGTCTTCTGACTGCAAATAACGACATTTGCTCAATAGTAATTGAGTAATACATTTTTTTAAAAGATATATATAACTTGTGTCCAATTTACAGGTTAACTATTTAAATGACATAGGAAAGAAATCCCTCCACTGCTCAAAGTGTCCTAAAAGTGGCAAACCAAAACCCATAAAATAAAATGATATACTGTACTTACTTAGCATGATGTATAAACCACTGACATTCAAAAAAAAAAAAAAATGCTGTACTGTGGGTAATGAGAGACATGCAACTGCAGCAAAACAGGATGCACCTGAATTTAACCAGTGTGTGAAGAGAGTTCAAGACAGACAGATGCAATATGAATGCGTTAAAGGATCACTATAGTTCCAGAAAAAACGAACTATTTAGTCCTTAGTTCTCCCCCCCCCCACTCTCAAGGGCCTCCTTCCGCTGGACTGAAGGGGTTAAATCCCCTTCAGCCACTTACCTTAATCCAGCTCCCTCGGCGCTGGTGACCTCTCCTCCCCCTCTGACGTCAGCTCCCGAGTGGAGCCGAATGTGCATGCGCGGCCAGAGCCGCGCACGCATTCAAACCACCCATAGGAAAGCATTACTCAATGCTTTCCTATGGACGTTCTGCGTGCTCAATGCGATTTTTGCATTGAGTGTCGCAGAAGCGCCTCTAGCGGCTGTCAGGAAGACAGCCACTAGAGGCTGGATTAACCCTGCAATGTAAACATAGTTTCTCTGAAACATATGTATGTAATAGGAGTAGGTGATGTGTAGAGTCCCACAAGGGAAACCAACATCAGGAGAGCGCCACTGTATAAGAAATGAGGAAGGGAGGCCTTACCTTTAATCAATCTAAGGGTAAAAAGGAATATGCAAAAAAAAGTATAACTTGAAAAAAAAAATGGGGGAGATCTACTAAACGGTGCCAAGGGGATCAATTGTCTGGAATACCAGCTAGCATCTAAGTTCCAGTTCCCCTAGTGTCCGACTGACAGGAAGGTAGTGTAAACGAGGTTAGGGAGAGAGAAGAGGCACAGGGTCCCCAGAGAACAAGGGACCAGGTAATCGGGTCTAAACGCAGATGAAAAGCCTCACACAAAAAATAATTAAATAAATCTCTCAATTCATCCTAAAAGTTACCTCGACATCGTGGTCTAACCACTAGTGTCTACCTGAACCAACTCTCCCTACTAAAGTTATAAATAAACACCTAAAAATCAATAACCATAGTGGTAACAAAAATAAAAAAAGTGCTACCAAGTGCAGAGATTAAAGAAAAAGAAGCAGCTGAAGGATTAAAACCTGGGGGACCTGGCACCCAGACTACTTCATTGAGCTGAAGTGGTCTGGATGACTCTAGTAGTTCTTTAATGCATGGGATTCTGCATATTCAGGACAAAGCTGCTGACCGATTTTCATAGGTGTCAAAGAAGAGAAAGATCATTGAATTCTTAATAAATATAAACGTTCATTATAGAATATAAGAATCAATAAGTCCATGTGGCGTGTCTATTACAGAAGAGACAGCTTATATTAGTTTTACCAATTTGTCAGTGTAACTTTATACAAATCACAAGCACTCAATTATTCCTTTAACACTTCTACTGGAAGTCTATTCCAGGTATCTACCGCTCATATTCTCAACCTACCCCTCTGGCTCACTGGCAAACTGTGTCCTCTTCTTCTATCTAGTACTTCTGTCTTAAAAATAAAAATAAAAATGCAGATTGGATTGCCAGCATATTTATTGGGTATAAAAGAATACCCTACAGAGCAGCCTTTGCTTGTGGTCTAAATGATGAATCCATACAAAGATTCTAGAACTAGAAAGATTCCTAACATACACCAGACACAGTGCAAAGGGCAGTATTAGGTGATATGTCTGAAGGTATGAATTACATCATCTGCTCAAACGCCACTAAATAACTGGAACATTAGCCATTAACCAGTATGAAGGCTTCCAGTACAGCTCTAGAGTGCAGATTAAATTAAAACCCTATGTGTGAAAAATAATACATCATCAGCCCCACAGAAGACTTAAAAAGAAACAACAGGTGTATTTTTATAAGTACGCTTACGACTAAAGTGTGAGGTCACCATCGTTCTCCCACTGAGTCATTAAGGATATACATATTCTCATACCGATTACAGCCAGCCTTACAATATGGCAAAGTTTACAAATCAAATGGATTAATATTTGACACCAGTAATGGAACTGGAGGCATGGACAGGACAAAACATCAGATATGTTTGCTTCATGGTGCATCGACCAAAATATAGTATATTCTGAAAATTATACAAAAAGGAAAAGTAAAAAAAACATTTCTTACAAGTGTGCTGGGCTGCTAAAAGGAGCATTAATGAGTGAATAATCACAAAAAAGTTTGTCTGCACAAATCTTATATTGCTTTTAAGGTTTGAATTATCTCTTTTAAGTATCAAATGAAAAATAAAGAATGTAGCGCTTTAAATTTTAGTGTCACCTTTTATATTGCTTGAGAAAGAGATTTTTCGCTGATATCCCTGATTGCAAATAGTTATTTTCTATTGCTGAAGGGGAATCTTTTTCGCTAGATTCCCCTTCAGCAATAGAAAATAACTATTCGCAATCAGGGATATCAGCGAAAAATCTCTTTCTCAAGCAATATAAAAGGTGACACTAAAATTTAAAGCGCTACATTCTTTATTTTTCATTTGTTTCTTGTATTGGTGATATTGTAAGGAATCACACGAATGTTTAGCAGCTAAATGGTATAAAGTTTATCACAATAATTGTTCTTTGTTTCATAATGAGCGCTAGGCTCTGCTTATATTTTCCTATTCTCTTTTAAGTATGTTGTATCTAAGACAGTCACCATGAACAATAACTTAAAAACAATTGTGACGAAATGCCTTTTGTCACTGGATTGTTAGGTGACAAGCTGCCTTTTGCCCCCGGCTGTTGGAGGAGCCTGATTGCCAGCCTCCTTCCTCATGACTATGGCCCTGGGGTGTATTGCCATTTAAAAAGACTATTTGGGGCTTATTGGCTTCTAAAGACGGTTTCTGCCCATTTGAATCTATGGGAAAGTGTGTTTCTTCCCCTCCCCCGTTTCCTGTCTATTGTTCTCCAGCAGGGCGTTGTCCCAGGCACACTGCCAAACCAGTTGGAACTGACTGCTTTTGTCCCTCCTTGGTTTCTCAACAGCCCTTGCTATGTTTTACCCCATGGCAAATTTACTCTGTTCATGGGATCTGAGCGCCGTTCACCTAAATTGGGCGCTCAGATCTGAGCTATCTGGGGATAGGTTAAATCTGGGGGTTCTGTGTAATATAATAAGAATTATGTATTTTTATGTACTTTTATGTATTTTTGCGGTTAGTGTAAAATGTAGATATTTTCTGTACCTGGAGATAATGGAGTTTACTGCAGTGCCTTAAGCCAATTATCTCCAGGATGGAGAGGAGGGATTTCATTGTGTATGTGGGAGTGTTATTATGTTAATTAGTGTTCCCATTGGTTTGTGTCCCTTTTGTTACAGTTTACCACCAGGTCCAGGGGGTGTGCCTCTGGCCTGAAAACTTTTAAATAAGGAGTAATAAACGCTCATTGGAGTCAGATCATCTTGTACCTTCATGAATTTTTGGCTCATGTTTGGGGGATTGGAGAACTACACTCTGGGGATTGCTATAATCACTATACTCCCCAGGGTATCATTACTAAGCTCTGCTAAGAGCTTGTTCCTGTTTCTGCTCTCTGGAATTCGGAGAGGTCGACCTACTGGAAGCTGGACCCTGGTCTTGGGTCCAGGGTGGGTGGAGACGGTGAGACCCCAACTAAGCTGCGGCGGTTCGTGGGGTCTGCAGTGGTTATGGTGTCAGGTGGAGTGCTTTGAGACCTCGGAAAGCACTAGGAGCATCCGTCAGCGGAAGGTACCCGGTCGGTGTGCCAGCGGTTCCGTTACAACAATCATAGGAAGAGTTACTATAGTTTAGGCCAATTATACTGTAAATTCTCAGTACTATAGAACTACACCCAAACTGATTAGCAAAGTCCATGCAAATATATGAAAGTGCAAAGACAAAAACAGTACTACAACAATAAAACGATACAAACCACATTTCCATGTATACAAGAAGCCGCTACCCAGTTGAATCCACTGGAAGAAATTAAGCTGAGTTCTAAAACACACAAACCACAGCATAGGTTGCAAAGTACTTTGCCAGGAGGTAAAGTGTTAGAGTTGCGACTGTTCTTTTCTTCAATTCATATCCCAGTCCCCATAAGAACTACTGTAAAGACGCATATGTTGAGATTATTTAATAACTGGAAGTTGCTCCAACAAATAGCTCAGAGTCATATATTTGTTTCAAACAGCACTGACTCACAGACTGATATCATCTACAACCTTGGATAAAATAACGTAATCAACGCATGTGCAACTGCTCTACATGCAGGAATTACCTACGTCTAGGAAAATCATTATGGCTGCAATAAACCTTTGGCTCGGCATGTGTGGCCTCTAGTAACTTTTCACCTCGGTTCTAAAAGCTGATAAACTGTATACAAAAACAAGTGTTGCGCTAAAAATTATACTTAACATCCAAAGGAATCAAAGGAAAAAAAACAAACAAAAAACCCCCCCTACAAATTAGTGCAGATTATCCTTATTATAAATATACAGTGATTAATACACACGAGGGTTGCACTCACATTTACCAGAGCCTATCAACCCTGGCTCTAGGTGAGAAAGGCTCCACTTGAGAGGGAATAACTCTCACAACACCCATACTCGAAGACCTATTTCCAAAGATGACACTCTGTATGCAGTGACTGTAGGGATGACAGAACCAGGAAAAACCAATGGCATAGTATAAAGCACTATCCACTTTTGGGTTATTGCTGATAAACTGTATGTCCACAGTGAAAAAGAACACTTCAACATCAGAAGATTGTAGTGCTTTTTTTTTTTCTTTCTAATTTAGAGATAAACAATGAGTAAGTAAATGTTTGGGCACCCATGACAAAACATGTTTTGTTGATTTTAATCTTCAGTGGGGAAAAAGGGTAAGCTCAGTATTTAACTCAGCCTTTGGCAGAAATCAGAGTCTCCAAAGACTTAATGTAGCTACCTAACAGCCTTTCTATTCTTGCTTTAGTAATTGTTCCCAAAGTTCTTCTAACAATACTTCTAGTTCAGAAACATTCCTAAAACATCTCTCATACACTGAAGGTCTGAAGTCAACCAAGTTATTAATAGTATTCAAGCCTGGGGGCTGCAGGGGCCATATTGAAACGTTATTCATCGAACTTCTTTTCAGCTTCGGATACTTTATTGACTGTGAGACATTGGTTTTCAAGATTTGTTGATATTCTGTAAAATTAATACAGTAGCAGACAAGGTTAGACAGCATATGTTGAGTGTTTCATTCTCCAGGCACCGTGACCACTTCAAATTACTGAAGTGGTCATGGTGCTTCTAGTAACCCTATATTGGGGTAAAACAGAAAACCAGACCATAATGATATCGGCAAAGTCTTTTCCTGCTGCTTGTGCAAGTGCTAGAGTTCTAGAAACTTTTAAGTTATTTCATATGAATATGGAATCAACAGGTTATGTTCAAACAGAAAAAGCAAGCATTAACAGCTTAACATAAATATTATAGAGCTATGCAAAGCACGTACAGAGGGCATGTAGGAAGAAGGCATGTAACTCCGCATTTATATCCAGTCTTTAACATTAAACACTGGATCATAGCATTTAAACTCCATGCTCTGGTTCCTGAATGTAACACACTACTGTATCTGATGATATTCATTTGAGATTTTGTCATCTCACAGTTGTACAGCATAGTGGAACGTTCGAAATGTCAGCATTGAAATATTGCGGCGTCCTTTCAAGCACTACTGATTCCAACAGGGTAATTAGGGTTACTTCCAACATCCTGTAACTACCATCAGGCAAGTGCTGTATTTGTTCTCTATTTTATATGCTTACAAAGGCATTCACTAGAAAGTCAATTTTAGCAAATTCAATGAAAAGGTCAAAACTAAAGAAGCTAAAATAGCCAAGTTGTGATTAGTGCAGGATTGGGCTATTTTTCCAAATCATCTATTTGTCTTAAGTTTGCCAATTTAATTTGTGACAATTAGTGAATAACCCTAAGAGTTTTATTTGTTTTTCGTAGTAGTATCGGTAGTCTCTTTGCTAATACACAGAAATATATTAATAACCCCATCTTTTTGGGGGGCGGAGCCAGCACCCTGAGCAAGCTGGATGTGTTCCTTTGCAGCTTTGACCGTGCTTCACAAGATGGCGCCGGCTGGGGCCTACTTCACTCCATCGTCAAATGACGTCAGCCTTCAAGATCTCCCTCCTGCTGCACCCCAGGTACGCTCCATGCCGCGGGCATCCATGGAGGAGAGTGACTCCGCTCCCTTGACCAAAGCCGACATACTGGCGTTGAGGCAAGACATCAAAGCCATGTTTCAGGCAGATATGGCGCTCATTAGAGAGAATGTCACCACACTTGCCAGTCGTGTTGAGGCAGTGGAGGGGGACATGGGAAGTGCTAAACTAGGACAATCCGCCACAGATGCTGCTCTGGGCTCACTGCAGAAGAAATGTGCTGATATGACAACACAACAAGCCAGCAAGGAAGACAGGGCTAAAGCCTGCAAGTACCTGAGGCGGTCTCTAACACCGAACTGCCTCACTATTGCAGGAGGCTAATTGCCACCCTTCTGCCTCAAAAACAGGCCGATCAGCTAGTGTTGGATACCTGCTTGCATTTCCGAAAAGCTGCCAAGGCACCCCAAGACGCAACTACGGATACCCTGCTTAAATTTGTACGGGACTCTGACCGAGGGGCTCTAATGGGCGGTACAAGAGGCTCGCCAACAGTATTATTCGAGGAAGTGTAACTGGTCTTTTGCAGAGAAATTTCAAGGAACATTCTCACATGGAGGAGATCTCTCCAACACACTCAAATGCTACGTGAACATGACATCTCATATAGAGATCTCATGGGGCCCACACCGACTGCTGGCGGACAAGGCGCACCTCCTGTCAGATATCTCGGAGACACCTGTGTTCATACAGTTGCTAGACCTACCAGCGGAGCCTGTCCAGAAAAATGCATGTCCAGCTTTGATTGTAGAGGGAATTACTCCCTTTATGCATAGAAGGGCAGTGCGGTGGCGACCGACTCTCCTACTTAATACCTAAAAGTGCTGCTAAACGTGTCCTAAATATTAAATGTTCAGTTTTTCTTTTTCAAAGTTTACTTTGTTGCATTCACTGTTTATTTAACTCAAACCCTGGCTCCGTAGCAAATGGCTTGCTCATTAATATAACTTTTATACCCCTCACAACGTTACTTCCGAACGTGTCCTGCTCTCCTTTTGACACGAGTACTTACCTACACATTCATCCACAGACGTACACCCTGTTTATACATCCTCCTGGCCGGGAATCGGCTAAAGCTGTAAGCTAGCAGAAGGTCTTTCCACTGAAGCTATTTTCCTATAAGTGCCAAATGCACAACCCCCACTTACAAAGCTATGTTCAGCCAGCAGGCAGTAAAGCTTCATATAAGCATCCCCTAGTTCATCATTAGAATCTCTTGTGTTTAGGAATTACAGTATTTAATTATTTTAAACTGGGTCAATTCTACACCGGTATCATTTTGATTGCTATACTACTTTTATCTCCCATTATACACATGTGATGTAATGGGATTTCAATGTAACCCACAAAAATAAAGAATTACAAAAAAAAAATAATCCCATCATTTTAACAAATAGATTATTATGTTAAGATCTATATTCCTAGAAGCCAGGAAGACAGCTGCTAAGCATGGGTGGGATCGCATGGGTCCAATTAAGAGCATTTATTATATTATATAGCTATACCACACTATTTTACAGTGATTCTACTGAAACGTTTCCTAAATGTGTCAGGTGATGTACAGTTCTTTGTAAGAAATCCTCAATTGGGATTATACCACTCCTTTTGGACTAAAACGCGTGGCCTCCATGCACACACGTCTACTACTGACGAGTCTTTCCTTAATATATAAATGGATATTATCCAGCTTATATCCCAAATGGACGATTACATCAAGAAGTTTTAGTAAATTATGGGACTGTGATATATCGGTACTTTTATTTGATCAGCTGTATTACACAATGTGTAGTTGTGTTTTATGTCTCATCTACAAATAAACAGCAATTTAAAAGGAAGATAAGGAAATAAAACAGGCGAAGGATAGGGCTCAGTCTATAAAAGAAACATCGGCATAAAGATTTACTTGTGTGCAGTGCTATAAAGGGCTATTTATGGTATTCTGATAAAGGTCTATCAAGATTCCATAATGCCTTTGCTGATGGGTACACTTTACAGAAAAATGACTGGTTACCATCACAAAATGTTTGCGTTTGATAAATGCAGTATTTTGTTTAAGCATAGAAAGGGTAACTCACTTTCTCTATCAGTTCATAGCACTCCTCCAGTTTCAGAGTTCTGTTTTGTATGGAGGTAGACGCTCTGTGATATACGTCCAGCCATTCTTCGTATACACTATCTGGAATCGCTGCTACAGCAAAGCAGAGGGTTCTTAAACCTGGGGGTAAAAAAAGGAGCAAACATTAATGTGAAAGGGAGACTCCAGGCACAAAACCAACTTTTCTGCATTTTGCCTATTTGCCTGAATTATGAGCTGCACTTTGACCCTTGGATTGGTTTAAACATATCCAACAGTACAGACCGCACAGACCAGAACCAGAGGCGTACGAATGGTCAAACTACTTCCTGGTGATGGCAGAGTTCAATGCAGACAAACGTATGGTAGTGTGCTTGCAAATGCAACAGTTTTCAAATAGTTTGGTCTATTATTTATATATGGTGTTTTTGAATATATAAAATGGGGCAAAAAGAATGGATCAATTCCAACTTCACATGTTTATCTTTTTATTTGTGGATTTTATGCAAGTAGAACAAATAGAGGTGACATGATGTATTGTATGAAAAGGCTGTTCTGTACCATAAAGGACATAGATCCGGATTTTTAGAAGGAGCAAAGGATAATTTTGTAAATTTGCCTAGATAGGTGAAATCAAATACTTTTTTTGATAGAAACATATCAGAAGTATTTCACCCAAAATGACGTAGGTTGTAATTTAATGTTTAACATGTTTGTTGTGCACATATACCACTCTGTATACATTATATAGACACATACATTTGGCTTATGACAATTGACAATCTGAGTTGGAGAACAATCAGAATATTCCCATGGTATTTAGGAACAAGGCTTTTTAACACATAGCATGTCTGTTTATAACCATAAGCGTCGACTCCATAAACATGGTCTAGCAACTGTGTATGCTACTTTATCTTTCAGGAGAAGGAATATTTATTGTTGGTACCTCTGAAAGGCTATGATTTAACATTTGCATCAAAGAACATCAAGCTAATTATACAATGGCTAAGAAACATAGGAGGGTGGTAACCAAATGCTTGAAGACTGAAGAAAAAAATAAATAAATAAAAGTTTCTTAGTAAATTGTTTAATGAATAATTAAAATATAACTTATTGGTCTGAATATTAAAATTATGATATATACAATAAAATATTAAAGTTTTCTATTTATAAGCTATCACAGCAAAAAAAAAAAAAAGGTTATCTGCAGCAAATGTTATCAGGTATCGCCTTAAACAGAGTATCCAAATTATAGGAATGTTGTAACAGCCTGTGATATAGCTGCAATTGAAATAAAACCATTTAGAAATAGCTGTTGCTGCACACCATTTATAACACTGATAGAGAAGCAATGTGAGTTTAAAACCCATAAGCGAATTTTAAAGAACACATTGGGAGTAGGGTGAAAGCTCAGAGAATCCAAAGGAAAGAATTCCCTTTATCAATATATTATATGAATATGTAATATCAATAATGCACTTGAAGCCTTAGTACATCCTGACAAGCCTTCGAAGACACTTTTCAAATAAATGTTGCCCTGAGCAAATACTTTCAATCAGTAAAGGTCCCTAATCTCATGAAAAGAGATTTGCTGTCAAGGAGAATATCACACATTTAAAAACAGATCTATGCTGAGGAGAGCAAGTGTAACCTATTCCCAAACCCACACACACACTCAATGATCAGGAACTTGTTTAAATCAAAATATAAAAGCATGTCTTCAACACATAAGATGAGATTTTAACAGGTCTCACCTTCTGTAGCAAACTGCTCCAAATGTTTTAAGGTAATTTCTTTATACTTGGATGTTTCAGCCAAGCGATCGTAAATGACCGTATCCTTTAAGAACCAGAAAAAAAATTAAAAACAAATGACAAATAGAATTTTGAATTCAGCAAATGGCAGCATGATATGGTGAAGTCAAACTTTGAAGTCTGTTATTTTCACTTCTCATTAAAGAGAGGTAGTAACTGAAGTTAAATCAATCTTCTTGGCACACAGGAGAAGTCATACATAATCCTCCAGACAGGGATCTGGGGGAGAATGGAGGCTTATGCCAGTCTGAGTTCATTAAGACCCGGGTATAAAATCGGAGTAGAACACGTAATATTTCATAACATTTTACTATAAAGTTTGCCATCTCTAGGAAAAAGCACATGATAATGTCTCTGCACAAAGACACAGGCTGCCGTCTTAGTATGAGACGTATTCTCACAGCAAATCTAAAACAAACAAGATCTATGACAATATGGAATTGTGTCTGGGACACATTTCTAAAAAGTGGTGCGAACATGTAAAAAGGAAACACCAATGGAATGTCCCTGCTGGTTCCCCTGGTGATTATCCCACTTTTAGTTCCATAGACAATTTTTTTTTGGAACAGAACATTTTGATAAATTTTCAGCACTGTATATCTGTCTCCACTAATGTATTCATCTAGTAGTATAAATGACAAAAGCTCTTACAGTCATGGCAGTCATAAACATGTTAACTTCCAAATGGCACCGAAAACATACCTGGAGACTTTTTTTTTTTTTAAATTACAATAAATTATTTTTTCTTCAGAGTACAGAACATCCATGAATGCAAGCAGCCAACAGAGCAAGCAGATTAGCAAGCAAAAAAATGTATGCAAACATGAACAGACAATGTTTATGGAAGACTGAGTTGCTGTGTATCGTAGTTTACTTACAGCTCCTTTGCAGTACAATCTCAATTTCCCTGATGAATTACGAACGATCACAGACATACGTTTTCGATTACTGCAAAAAAAAGAATAACTTAACACAGGTTCGCCAGTATTCAGACACATGGTTAACAATTGGACTGCTCTAACAGCTTTTTAAAGCTAAAATGTCTACACAGATCTTCAAAAAATATTATTTGGTCATATTATTATAACTTACCTTGTAAATTCCAGCACATTTAGCAACTCAAATCGTTCTTCTTTACCAAGCTTAAAAGAAAAATCAATAGCATAAAACCATGTTCAAACTAAATGATTAAACAAAATGAAACATTGTCACAATACAGTATTTAACATGTCAGACACTATTACAAAATAAAAAGTAACAATTTTACACCATTGGCAGGGAATCCATTAGAACTAGTGGAGTTTCATTGATTCACAACAAAAGAAAACCTGACCTCCATCTAAACCCCATAAACCAAACACCTTGGCAATTTAACTTTTAAACTCCTGGATCAAACATTACAATTATTAGCTTTACTGGTGGTTATGAATAGCAAATATAACCTAGGACACAAAGTACATAAAATAACATTGCATTATACATAACGTTAAGTAAACAAGTTTGAAACAGTTGTGCTTGTTTTATTTTTTTTTTGCTTACTTTGAAATTAGTGACCTCTTGTGGACGACAGTATAATTAGAATATTTAAAATTTTAAAGTTGTAAAAAATCAAAAATACCACACTCACAAGAGGGCAGCTATCGTGCTGTTCTTACTGCATAGGTTTTTTCATTCAATCTCTACAACCTTAGATAGTTTTAGACTTGCAAATGCAGCAGTTAAATCTATCACTGGCAGAGTACCATCAGGCTAGTAAGTTTGTGTACAGTACCTCTGCACATACAATGTATGGTTTAATGAATGCCAACTTTATTTTTTCAATGTTCATTACAATGAACAGCTAAATTGGAAAATTGTCTAATTCTGCAATTCTTAATTTCACTGCTTAGTGAATAAACTCTACAGTAAACCTAAAAAAGCAGCATCCCAGCAATACAGAAAAAGCACTTCACTTGAATCCCAAAGGAAGCACATAACAAAGTAATAATAAAAAAAAAAAGTATTACACAAACTACAGTAAATCTGTTTGCTATATATATATATATATTAAAAAAAAAAATTTTCTTTAAAATTTGGTTACATGATTTTGTGAATTAGTGACCTCTTGTGGTTTCCTGTATTATTAAATGTATTGAATTTTATAGAGTATTTTGCAAAACCCATGAAATCCAGTTCCAGGGTTAAATAAATAAAACATGTCTAAGAGAATGTATAAAAAGTTTTCAGTTTATACAGCTATGGGTTGACTGTCGACCCAAAGCGGTATTAGCAGATATACATTTACCAAACACAAAAAGTTATTGTTTCCTTGAATATCAGCATGCATATTTATATAAACATTTATATGAAAACTGAAAAAAAAAAAAAATTATCGATCAACATACTTACAGATTCTATTATAACAGTATCTGGTGTTCTGCCAGTAAAACAGAAACGCAGATCCCGCGCCGCTCGTACCAGAGCTGCTTCATCTGTACAAAGAAATAAACAATAGAAACACATTCATTAATGCTAACTGACAAACTTTGGAATTCACAAAGGCATTACAATTCATTAAGTTATTTGACTTTAAAATAATGGTCTTATCTTGGTAATTCTAGTAGTAGTTTATTCATAGTGCACAATTGAGAACACTCAGGTGTTTTATTTATAGATTAGGGTTTTGGGAGAGTCTGATGGAAGGGTTCTGGGTAGGTCATGTGTCAACAACAAGACAAGTCTGTCTAACATCAGGTCAGCTTAATTTATCTTAACTGATCCCATGGAATCAAGTTGCTCAGTAGGGCAATGCTCCATAATTCTGTATTTAGCAGTTCCTTTCATATGTAAAGAGGAACAATTTTCATTGCACAATAAAAAAAAAAAAAAAAAAAATATGCATTTTCTACAGGTTATCATCAAACAAACAAAAAAATAAAAATCTCTCAGGATTAAAGATAATTCAGAGTAATATATTCAAAGTAATGCTATCTTTGGCATTTTTAAAAATATACAAACGTAAGGACTGTTCAGGTCTACAGGTCAAAGGTAAATCAATGTCTGCATTTACATATTCTACATAATTGATATATAGAAACACTAATGGTATGTGATTAACCTCTTAAGGACCAAAGTTCTGGAATAAAAGGGAATCATGACATGTCATGTGTCCTTAAGGGGTTAAAGAGACACTATAGTCACCAGAACCACTACAACTTAATGGTGTGGTTCTGGTGTCTACAGCATGTCCCTGCAGGGTTTTTAATGTAAACAGGGTCTTTTCAGAGAAAAGGCAACGTTTACATTGCTGCCTAGGAACACTCAGATGGCCACTAGAAGTGCTTCTTGTGTTAGTCTTCATTGTGCAGCTATGGCATTTAGTGTCTCCACAGTCTGCTTGGAGTGGCTGTACATTGCCCATAGAGACGCACAGACTTAATTCATCTCTATGTAGAGATACTGATTAGGGCAGCTAATTCTATGAGAAAGAATTGGATATGCTGAGATCATCAAGTTAAAAAATCTTTTTACTGAGAAAGGATGGGGGCAGAGACCTAAATAGCATAATACTACAGTGTCGGGAATACAGGTTTGTGTTCCTGACACTATACGGTTCCTTTAAGTCGCTAATTTCTGTACACTAATTCCTAATACTGCAGACAGACTTATGTTGCAGTTAACCAAGTATAGTTTTACCTGGTGAAGATGCTTGATAGATGATCTGGTCGCCTTCCCGTTCAGGCACTGCAGTATGACATACTGCCATCATTGTGAGAAACTCGCAGATCACTGGTGCAGTTGGCTAAAAACAAAGAAAACTATTTACATATAAAGCATTTCAAGGTGATTTAGGGGAAAACACACACACACACAATAATGTGAAAGCTTGCATTGGCTACCCTTTTAGACAATTCTGTATTCCAGAGGGGTAACTCTGCTAGCACACAAAGAAGTAAAGACTGAGCACACACAGGATATATCCAAAATGCAAACTTTATTGAAACATAGAATGTGACGGCAGATAAGAACCATTCGGCCCATCTAGTCTGCCCAATTTTCTAAATACTTTCATTAGTCCCTGGCCTTATCTTATAGTTAGGATAGCCTTATGCCTATCCCACGCATGCTTAAACTCCTTTACTGTGTTAACCTCTACCACTTCAGCTGGAAGGCTATTCCATGCATCCACTACCCTCTCAGTAAAGTAATACTTCCTGATATTATTTTAAAACATTTGTCCCTCTAATTTAAGACTATGTCTTCTTGTTGTGGTAGTTTTTCTTCTTTTAAATATAGTCTCCTCCTTTACTGTGTTGATTCCCTTTATGTATTTAAATGTTTCTATCATATCCCCCCTGTCTCGTCTTTCCTCCAAGCTATACATGTTAAGATCCTTTAACCTTTCCTGGTAAGTTTTATCCCGCAATCCATAAACCAGCTTAGTGGCCCTTTTCTAAACTCTCTCTAAAGTATCCATATCCTTCTGAAGATACGGTCTCCAGTACTGTGTACAATACTCCAAGTGAGGTCTCACCAGTGTTCTGTACAATGGCATGAGCACTTCCCTCTTTCTACTGCTAATACCTCTCCCTATACAACCAAGCATTCTGCTAGCATTTCCTGCTGCTCATTGAAAAATGACCAGTTTGTTCAAAAACACTAACTCCATGGAAACCTCTTTTTGCACTCACCATTTCGACACGCCATGAGACAAAGTTGTATGTTTGAGATAACCAAGTTGTAAGCCTCCCAAAAAAGCTTTACATTTGACATTTGAAGACATGTGTGGTGTGTGTATTATCTATAGATTTACTTTTTACACAATGTTTATTTTTACATTACCATATACAAATTGTATCATGACATGTTGTGTTTACACAGAATATTTATTTAATTAGGGGAAAGTGTTTTTTATTCATTTAACTGAATTTCAAATAAACAACAACCAAACCAGATTTGTTAGAACATTATTTATCATAAATATTGTAAATTGCTATTGTTTATTTTAGACTAGATTGCAAACTATGTTGTGCATGCCATTACAAACAAAATGTAATATACAATATTTATTTTTCTGTCTTTCAAGCTAGCATTAACAAGACGGCACGGTCATCTTGTTTGCTCATTGATTAAATAATGCTTCTAATTATATAACATACTGCTTAGCTGCTAGGAACAATCCCAGGTGTAAAGCTACTGGCCCAGAGGTATGCTTTATAACAATTACAGTGCCCTAACGAACATTAAATTACTTATCCCTGTGTGTCCAATTTAATTTGTATAAGGCACATATGCTCTGTTGTGCTTGTGGTTCAAACCCAAGTTACCCATTTGGAATTTGTATGCAGCACTTTAGATTTGTGAATAAGTAGCAATATGAAAGTCCAAGCACTGTATAAATAAATGGACTGAAACATCAATTATGAAAGAAAAAAAAAAAAGATTGTAACATAAAAATTAATATAGCATAGCATGCTGATATGGTTGTCTAAATAGATTGGGAAAGAGAATAAGTCAATACGCAGATGCTCAATAGCTGAATGGCTTTGTAAGGCAAGAAAAAAAATCTCTCCAATGTCATTTCAATAGGTATTTCAGCCTTAAATGTGTAAATAATCACTTTTAGTAGATATACCCCCAGTGGAAAAAAAAGCATGATTAAATGTAGGCATGTGTTTTTAGGGTATATCTAAAAACAGCTTGCAAAAGATGCAATTCTCTTGCCAGTAGCCTGTGCAAGACCTCCCCTTCTTCCCCAGCCCAGGCTTTATGTGGCTGTCCAATAACAGCGTTCCCCATGCAGTTCAATGAGAAGTCTGTGCAAGGCAGGTGCTCTGAGCAATTGCGTTTAGCTCTACCTAGCTAAAGAACCAGGAAGTAACAGGACTGGTTGTATGATTGTCAGCTGGTGGGGTAGTTTAAAAAATAAAAAATAAACTTCAATATCTTTTAAAATCTGCACTTATTGTAAAAAAACAAAAAACAAAAAAAAAAAAAACACTTTACACAATAAGCACTCGAGCAAGCTAATGTGCTTTAGGGGTTTGGAGTGTCCATTTAAATATTCCTACAATGTATTCAAGAGGAACACTCACTTTCTGCTTTGATAGATTTTCTTTTTTAAGGCCTAAAATGTTATTAGATTTAATTATGCAGAGGAGACAAGCAAAACATATACATTCTCTGTATTAACTGTGTAGTGGGCATTTCCACCTATCTCGGAGCCATGTTCCAATAATTCTACATGGACAGTTTGTGGTAATCCTGCACACTACAGCAAGTTGTAGAAATATAGAACCCAGTCAGGGTTACCCACTAATCAGAAAAATGTTGGGAATAGACAAAGTATTTTGCTTATTTTAGAAGGAAAAAATTAAATAAAAACACCAGACAAATTGGAAACATTCTCCAAATTCGCAGTTTCCAACCTAAAATCGGCAATGCTGTGATTTATGCATGCAAATTCCACATTTACATGATTAAGGTAAATTCAAAGTGAATTTCAAATTTAAAGGGCCACTGTAGTCACCAAAACAACCTTAGCTTAAACAGTTTTGGTGTATAGATAATGCCCCTGCAGTTTCGCTGCTCAATTCTCTGTCATGTAATAGTTAAATCATTTTGTTTCTGGAGCCCTAGTCACATCTCCCTGCATGTGACTTACACAGACAGCCTAAACACTTTACTCCTGTAAAGAGTCAGCTAATGTTTATGCTTCCTATATTGCAAATTCTGTTTAATTGAGAACATATTTTTCTTCTGCTCTGCCAATTTTTTTGCAAGACCCTACAGGAGACTCCTATGTGCGATTAAAAGTTTATCTCCTGCTCTGTTAATTGAACTATAAAATATGTACCATCATGCAGGCTGTGTCAATTATAGCCAGGGGAGGTGTGACCAGGGCTGCATAAACAGAAACAAAAGTGATTTAACTCCTAAAATCTTCACCCCCCAAAAAAATAGAATACCAAGATACAGTAGAATACATAAAATGGTTTGGAGGGAATAGATTGTATCTTACATGATTGTTTTCCAGATTTTCTAATAAAGCAGCATCATTGAAGCCCACATTTTCTTCTTCTTTCTGTAAATCATGCCTAAGGAATAAAGTGAAGTGGAAAAACTTGATTGAGCAGCAAGTAACAATACTTAATGACTGACAAATATGAAGATCTAGAGCGCCTAATAATATGACATACATATGCTTGTTCTTTATCTCACACATTTCTGAATGGTTTACATGTATACCTGTAGAAGTTCTTTTTCTATTTTATATGCAGCCCTATATATGTACCAGTTACCTGTCTCCCAATACTAGTAATGCTTGGGTATAAGTATTTTACATGCAACTTTAGTCTAACAGCTGAAATACTAGACGAGGAGACAGCGGTACATCTCGAATAGGATAAATAGGCCTCCTCCAGAAGGGCGCTCGATCGACTGTTTCTTTGGGACCCAAATCCACATTTTGTTCTTCTACCCTGGTATTTGGCTTTTTCAGAGACTCAATGTTTGTGGTGTATAAGTGCATTACAGATTTATATTGCATTTAAGCTAAACACGTTTGTGTAAACAAAAATACCTTGGTATTGTCCTAGGCTGATTTTAAAAATATCAATTACTATTGATGTGACATGACAAACTGTTCCAGAACAAGCCCATTCACCGGTCAGACCTCCAGTCTTATCCTAGTGTTTGAATTCAGATCTGAAAGCTCTGTGTATGCCATGTATTAAAACATATTTTGCTGGTAAGTGCTGATGTGTCTTTTTAGAACCCTATTAGCCAACCAAAACTAAAAGTAAATTTCTTTGATGTATTGACAGATTAAAGCTTGGGACTTCTCACCTCTGCAGAGGACTTTTCAACAAAAATATCGTATTAAAATCAAAGACTGCATGGTCTCCTTCTACAGGTCAGACATTTACACACAAGTACTGTTCTAAATTGCACCATTAATTATACATAAGCCCTTGACACAAGGCAGGCCACACTTTGAGAAGAAAGCATACTAGTTAGCGGTGCAACATATAGCATACGTGTATTTTTTCCTATAAGATCTACGGGGACTTAACTTTGTACCAGGCAGGAAACTGGTGCTAAGTTCTCAAGGTTAGCAGCAGTAGGTAAAAAGTGACAGCTGTAAATCAGTCGTAGTGGATAGCAGTTCCCATAGATAATAAAGGTAGTTGCGTCTGGCAATTTCCTGTTGCAACTGGTGACATTTTGCAGCAGTTGTATGCTACTAGCTAAAAGTAACAGCAGGCATTTTAGGGAGTACTGCTTGGCCAGGAAAAAAATACTCTAAAAAAATTGCAGAAACATTGAAAACAAGCCATTAGTACAGAGCACATGATAACTACAATGTAATCTTTTATACCCGTGCCAATGTTTACCTCTATGCTGCTACCTCATGCACAGTGGGAGCATTAGCATCACTGAGGATTGTGGAGAGCCACAAGATGACATCACTTCTCACTTAGCCAGAGTGATTTCACTTATACGCAAGAGAACCCCCAGGTTGGGTGGAGGTAATTAAATCTTAAAAGTCAGTGGGAACACATTCTACAGTACAGAAACCACTGTGCCATTTACTTAAGCAGCAGCCTCAAGAGAATTAGATATTTTTTTTTTCTTTTATGCTTAATGAGGAATTTTGGCATTTGTTCCCAACTGACTGAAGATGCAATTTACAAGAAGTAGTCATTTGCCTTTGCTGACCACAATCATATCAATATTACACTCTGCTTCTATTCCAGATTTGGAGTTTCATTGAATCATTACTGCATCAGGCACACTGTCCACAATACAAAAAGATGACACCCCATTCCCTGAAAAAATATGGAACCAGATATGCTTACCAACTATCTTCTGAGTACCTATACTCTTCTGGCTCTGGACAGTGACTACGTAGAATATGGGAAAGAGGCAGAAGAGAGAATACATGGTGAAAGGGTAAGCGAAAAGTAGCAGTAATAAATATGGGCTAGTTGAGAAGAATATAAAAAAATACAGATCAAAGGTTTGAAGATAAAATGAATGAGCCAAGGAGGAGAAAAAAAAACAAAAAACATTCTAGTATATCATTTGGTTAGTTTGAAACATTTTCCACATTAAAAATGTTTTCAAATTCAAATATTCAGAAACCAGATCATTCAATGTGCCAAGAGCCAATATCACTTGATCTTCATTTCGTGACTGGGGCATAGACATTGCACCTGCATCCTCACAAAGGAAAACAGTGGTGTATGTGCAAACCTATTCGTGACGGTCAGACGCCCACTAAGGGATTCTGACACAAACCGCAATTTAATCTATTTGTCATCAAACGTCAGCATGCAAAGTACAAAGATGTACGCAGTGTGGATTCACTGTTTCTCAGAGAATCACTGGACCCATGCATTGTGGAGATTACCATGTATGAACCGTGTGTTCTCAATGCTACTCTAGACAAAAATTATCAAGCATGATGACTTCACTGTAGGATGGCAAATAATTGGGCTGCTTTTTTTTTTTTTATTATGCAATTTTCATGTTCACAACACGCACTTTGTAATACAAGTTGTATATTTTGTACATAATATAGAGTAGTAACTGGTAGAAGTGTTGGTCTATATAAAGATATCTGTGTAACGGTACGAACATTTTTTATAATGGATAGATTTAGGGGAACAGTGGAGGAGGGTTGGGGGAGAGCATTAGATAGTACTTTACTTGACAGGTTGGAGTTCAGTTAGTTGGTTTAAACTTTTCAAGAGTCGCGGTGTACCACTCCATCCAATAGTGGATCATCTTGAGTCATCATACATCATTTTGAATCATTATGTACTCGGCTGACGAGACTTCGAGTTATGTTACTTTAATCAGTCTTGGGGATAACTTTCTCTAAATGTATTCCACATGTGCCAGGCATCACTCCAGAATTTAGCTTTGGTGGGGAGGGCTGCCCTACATAAGGATTCATAATGTTGTGTTGTTTCAATAAGGTTTATACATTGCTTTATGGTCGGTGCCTCGGGGCTTCGCCATGTTTTGCTTATCATAGCCAGCGCTGTGATGTTAATTTGGTAAATGAGATACTTTTTCGCTTTGGGTAAGTTAGATGGGTAGTTGTGGAGCAGCAAACAGTCGGGTGTTATAGGTAGGGTAGTTTCCGTGCTACCATGAATTAGGTTAGCCATTTCTTTCAGTATGTTGTTAGTTTTGGGCATTCCCACCAGATATGGAGCCTGGTGCCCGTTCCTAATGTGCACCTCCAGCAGTGATCATATGTGTTGGGATAAATTGGTTTGAGGCGCTTTGGCACTAAGTACCAGCAGTACCGGATTTTCCTTGATAGTTCCGTATGTGTTGTGCCAAGTGCAAGTTGTTTAGGGGTTATGAATATCTCTCGCCATGTTTTTTCCCCGAATGTCAAACCAAGGTCTTTTTCCCATGCTATAACAAAGAGGTATCTGATAATATCATATATCAGTATGCTGGCATATAGTATTGAGATCGTCTTAACTGCTGGTGTAATTTTAAGCATTATTCTTTTAAAGCTCGTCAGCCAGTGCTCATGTACATTTTCATTGGTCCAAGCATTTTGTTTTTTTTATCCAGGAATTTATTTGTAAATACGAGAATTGCGCCACCGAAGGGAGTGTTGTTTGTCTGGGAAGAGTAGTGTTTGGCCATCCCGAAATCCCGAATTGGTGAATAAAGTGTATATCGTGGCGTTCCCAGATTTAGTAGTTGAAATCTGTTATTACTGAGTTTAGGGTTGAGATGGGCATAGCTCTTGAGTATGGGCTTTCCGAGCAGCATTTATGTCTGTTCCAATCCCACACATGAATGGTCATTTCTGTGGTAGGAAACATTGTTAGTCTTTTGGGCCCGACGTGTTTGGGTAGCCATATCATAGATAACAGTGTGTTTTTTTGCATCACCTGCAGGAGGCTGCAGGTGCAATGTCTATGCCCCAGTCACTAATGTCACCCATTGGGGTGGTTTGTTTCGAGTTTGGGCTGGTACTATTCTATTGATGATAGCTGCTTGGTAATATATGTGTAAATTTGGTGCGTTCATCCCTCCATCAGCAGTTTTTTGGTAGAGCGTGGTTGCTGTTACTCTAGGAGTTTTGTATGCCCAAATACATTGGTTGAGCAACCGATGTGCTTCCTTAAAACAGGAGTGCAGGAGGTGGATGAGCAATGTGCAGAATAGGTATTGGAATTTGGAGACCACTATAGTTTTTATGGCCGATTGTGTAGTGTTTTAATCTATTTCAATAACTGTATATGGTTTGCTTTATAGATATGTTGAATATTGGAAGTGAAGGCCACCCCCAGAAATGTTAGTTGGTCTGATCTCCAATAAAACAAGTGTTGGGATTTTAGGCGTTGCAATAGTTGTCTTCGTATATTGATGCCCATAGCTTGTGTTTTAGTTACATTGAGTTTGTAATAGGAACATCTGCTGTATTCCTGCAGTATTCCAGTGAATGTTGGTATTGAGGTGTGTGGTTGCGTTAATGTAAATTTGTATTCAGTGTCATTAACTTGTATGCCATGGATGTTAGGGTTATTTCTAATGAGTGTCGTGAGTGGTTCTAGCGCCAATACATACAATAAAGGCAAAAGCTGGCAGCCCTGTCTAGAGCCAATTGAGATATAAAAGGGAGAAGAGGTAAAACCTCACCCTGCTACTTTGGCAACAGGGTTACTATATAAGGTCCACACCGCTGACACAAATTCTCCCGGGAAGCCATATTTTTCCAGCACCACGAGGAGGAAGGGCCACTGCAGTCTATAAAATGCTTTTTCCACATCTAGGGAGAGAAAAGCTCTGTGCCCCCTTACCCGCATCAAGTCCAGCTCCTTTTGCGTGCCATCAGTCCCTTGTCTTTCTCGCACGAAACCGACTTTATCATCATGGATGATCGCTGGGAGTATAATGGATAGCCTATTTGCATATATTTTTGCAAATACTTTTGTGTCCGTGTTTAACAAGGAGATGGGGCGCAGGTTTTGCCCTTTGTTTGGGACCTTCCCCGGTTTAGGGAGTGTGGTGATGTGTGCCATGAGCATGTCTTCCGGTGTGGTCTCCTGTGTGAGCATAGTCATGAAGGTTTTTAAGAGTTGTGGGGCTAATGTGTTCGCGTATGTTTTAGAATATATACTTGGGAAAAAGTCTAGTCCTGGTGACTTCCCTGGGGGGAGTGCCAGTATTGTGCTAATTATTTCTTGTTCTGTTATTGGAGCTTGAAATCTGTGTTTGAGTTTGGGAAAGGGTAGACAATTAGATTTTTTGCAAAAAAAAAAAAAAAAAATCGATCTATGTCCGTGTTTGTGAGTTGGTGCAAGGTAGTGTCCTCTTTTAAGTTATATTAGTAGTGTATAGTATTTTGCTAACTCGTCAGCTATGTCTTGAGGGTTGTAGAGTTTTGACCCTCTGTTGGTTAATATGTAGGGAATTTTTGTGTGCCCTTGTTTTTGCTGTAATTTGGTGGCCAAGAGCCTGTCCATATTGTTTTGGTGATACCCTCGACTCTTCAATCTTTGAATCAAATATATCAGGGTTTTTTCCATGCATGTGTCAATGCGTTTTGTAAGGTTGACAATGGTGGTCTGTAAAGAGTCGGTGGATTGGTTGTAGTGTTTTGCAGATGCATCTCGGAGGTCACGCAACAGTGCCATGTTTTCTTTTTTTAGGTAGGAAGCGCTGTTTAGAAAGATGCCTTGCATGACCGACTTGTGGGCCTGCCATACCACCAATATAGATGTCCCTTTGAAGCTATACATGTTAAGATCCTTTAACCTTTCATTGTAAGTTTTATCCTGCAATCCATGAACCAGTTTAGTAGCCCTTCTCTGATCTCTCTCTAAAGTATCAATATCCTTCTGAAGATACGGTCTCCAGTACTGTGTATAATACTCCAAGTGAGGTCTCACCAGTGTTCTGTACAATGGCATGAGCACTTCCCTCTTTCTACTGCTAATACCTCTCTATTTCCAATCAAGCATTCTGCTAGCATTTCCTGCTGCTCTATTACATGATCTGCCTACCTTTAAGTCATCAGAAATATTTACCCCTAAATCCCTTTCCTCAGATGTTGAGGTTAGGACCATCAAATATTCTGTACTCTGGCCTTGGGTTTTTAGGTCCAAGATGCATTATCTTGCACTAATCCACATTTAATGTCAGTTGCCACAACTCTGACCATACCTAAATCATTTGCCATTTGTCTTATCCCTCTGGGAACATCAAGCCTGTTACATATCTTAGTATCATCAGCAAAAAGACCATCAAGACCTTCTGCAATATCACAAATACAAATATTAAAGAGAATGGGTCCAAGTACAGAACCCTGAGGTACCCCACTGGTGACAAGCCCATGTTTCGAATATACTCCTTTGACTACAACCCTCTGTTGCCTGTCACTCTGCCACTGCCTTACCTATTCAACAATATTGGAATCCAAACTTAAAGATTGCAATTTATTGATAAGCCTTCTATGTGCAACAGTGTCAAAAGCCTTACTGAAATCTAGGTAAGCAATGTCTACTGCACCACCCTGATCTATTATTTTAGTTACCCAATCAAAAAAATCAATAAGATTAGTTTGGCATGATCTCCCTGAAGTAAACCCATGTTGTCTCTGATCTTGAAATCCATGTGTTTTTAGATGTTCAACAATCCTATCCTTTAACATGGTTTCCATCACTTTCCCCACTACTGAAGTAAGGCTTACTGGCCTATAGTTGCCAGACTCCTCCCTATTACCTTTCTTGTGAATGGGCACAACATTCGCTAACTTCCAATCTTCTGGGACTACTCCTGTTAATGATTGGTTAAATAAATCTGTTAATGGTTTTGCTAGTACACCACTAAGCTATTTTAATAACTTTGGGTGTATTCCATCAGGTCCCATTGACTTATTTGTCTTTACTTTTTCTTATGTGTGTGATTTGGAAGCTCTTATAACTTGCTTAGCCTATTATTAAGGGAGAAGTATTCATTAAGAGTGTTTTGTATAGTTTGATTGAATGTGTCGTCCCTTAGAATCAATTAGTTTAGTCTACAAGGGGGTGGGGGAGGCGCTTTTTGTTAACTGTTAAAAAAAAATACAAAAACAGAAAGGCCAAACAAATAGTAAAATAAAAAAGAAGAAACATATTAAGTTAAAAAATATTGTTTAGACAGATTGTTTCTTTAAGTTAATTGTGTTGTGCCTTCCACACTCTTGAACATGCAGAAAGGAACAAATGTGTTGGGGACCACTGGCCTGCAGCATAATTTGTATTAAAAAACTAGGATGTTCTTTTGAGACTGAAGGTAACTGGATGCTGGATGCGGATTCTTAGAAAGAAGCATGTATAAGCCAAGTCCCATAGCTACTCACATATCATTGGCAGCTTACAGAACCTGGCATCTCCTGACAGAGAAACAATTTGCTGTGGCCAATATGTCTAACACAAGCATCAGAAAACCCCAGCTCCATTACACTCCAAAGGGAAAATACAGGATGTGAATTTCCACAGAGAGGTTTATGTATTGAAAAGAATAGTGTAGGGCATCGTAAAAATTAATCTAGTTGCTTTCCGATTTGGAAATGTTGAGCATTAATAAATGAAGGTATAAATAAAGTTTTCACAATAAAACTGTACAAATACATAGTCAAACACCTTCTTCCATCCAACTACAACCGGGTACACTTGGAGCAGTGTTAGAATGACATTATAACAGCTAGTAGGAAAAATTGAAATCAAAGACCTTAATATTTCATGTACTGAGCCCCTAATCCCGTTTAATAAGGTCTACATAGAAATCTAGGAAATGTAGCTGCAGGTGGAATGTTGGACACATCTAGTAAAATTAATTGATGGAAAAGATGGGAGACGGCAGGCTATAATTTCCAAGAACAAACATGCTACAATGTGTATTGCCTTTTATTTTCGTAGCTTGATCCATTCACCATTATACCGAATGCAATAGCACTGAATTCAGTATGACAATCCCAATTTTAGGTTCATTTTCCAAAGTTGTGGGTGAAAACAGCAGTGAAAGAGTACTTGCTGGGGAGTTAAATCATACTTCCCTGCAGTTACTTACACACACAATGAAATATCTGTTGCGGAAGTGCTCTCTATGAACAGACATGACTTGTGCAAGTGAAAAAAGAGAATTCCTGACATAGCTGCAGTTACACTATTCAACAGTTTATAAATCAAGCGTCACAAAGGATGCAGTCTGGCATTAGATATTACCAATATGTTGCTTTGGTTAAAGGAGTTATCTGGCCAGCTTAAACCTTAAAACAGACAGAGTGAAAAAAAAAAAAAAAAAAGTTTTTTTTTCCTGAAGAACACGTAATTTTTGCAGCACTCATCACCACTAGATGACAGTGTTGAGTTGTGCACTACACTCTGTATGGGTGGCAAGTTATTCCCCAGTAAATTCACTTTTTACTTGTTTAGCACTAGGCTGGGAGCGGTTCCTGGTGAGAATGTAGATACAAATGAAAAACTCACAAAGTGTATGCAAAAAGTACTTACCCATAGGCATTCCCTGCTATAGTGCACTTCTTAAACTGCATGACATTGCAGGTCAGGGTCCCAGTCTTGTCCGAAAATATGTATTTTACCTTTTAAAGAAAAGCATACATTATACACATATACATAGAAGTGTATCTGTTTAATATCCATTAGTTTTGTAAAATTAACGGTACACTTCAAGCACCATAACCACTACAGTGTGGTGTAGTGGTTATGGTATCACGAGTGCCCTAGCATTCTATTGCAAGTAGTCAAAAGCTTGGCAAATAGTTTGACAACTTACCTGGGGTCCACTTGGCCCTGGTCAACACCTCCGGAAAAGCCAGGAGCTCCTGCATTGAGCTAGTCCGGACACAATGAGATAGCTTTACTGGAGATTGACTGCCGCCAGACAGATTGTCAAACCACTTGCAAAAGGTTTGACTACTTACCCTGTGAGGGAGCCACGGCATGCCTGGCACCATTACCACTACAGCGCACTGTCGTGGTTAGGGTGCTCGGAATGCTTCTTTAAATAGGCATTGTTCTATATAGTTGATTTAAAAAAAAAAAAAAATAGATAATATCTCTGGTAAATTTATTTTCATCAGTAATAACAGTATATCTGGTTGGCTATACTATTTTAATAAATAAAATAAAAAAAACATGATGAAAACACATTTGTTGCTACATATTATATTGACAATGACAAATAATTTTTAAAAACAGCTTTTAAAATGTAATCATTATCCTAGTATCCCATTTAATATGTGCTTTCTATTTACAAATGACACTTAGCTATAGGGATTCCATGCTAGAGGGTCTCAGATTTCCACAACTCACAATGCTTATTCTTATGTTGTCTACACATAAACATCTGTCTAATTGCACCACGCTTTACTCTACGTATGTATTCCTGACAGATAAATTGCAGACTCACCTGGCCCAGCTCTTCATTAAGGTTCGATGTGCGTGCCATGGCAGATGTATCTGTTGGTTCATAATGCATGTCGACATCCTTGGGTAGTAAATAAAACATGTCACTTAGGATGAAAATGTCTACATTTTATTAGAACATTTTGCTGCAGACTGCTAAATATACTAACTACTTTATGAGTAAGGATTAACAGATATTTTTCTCCTTTTCAAGTTTATTGTAAAAATAGAGAAATTGTTGAAATTCTCACCCAATTTATGAAATATGCTTGGATAAATTTCACAACTTCCAGTGTAACCAGCAAACTGATAGGTATGAGGTTGTTGAAGAGTATGATAAATGTTAAGAAATTCAGTCCAAAGTTGTTAGCTCCACCATCTGTTCAGATTACGGACAAAAGGGAAAGGTTTGTTACACATAGAAAACAATGCTTATATATGAGCAGACACTCTGCAGTAAGACATTCAGTCTACATTTCAATTATTATAGACTGAAGACTAGGCTCTCAAATATATCTTTAGAGCTACGGATAATTTTAATGGAAGGATTTTGTAAAAAAAAAAAAAAAATTTTAAATTTAAAAAAAATAAAAGACGACATACCAATAATTCAGTCTTTGCATCAGTCTTTATAATAAAATTGAGCCATTTTCATGCAGTCAATACGATTAACTCTCATTTCTCAATTCAAGTACCACATTACCTGATGTTTATATGCAAATCCTATTTCATACATTACGATTTCTATATAGGTTGGCAACAATCAACAATTACCCAACAGACACATCATGTCTGTTACGTGTTCTACTTCTGGACGGCCAGTCACTCTTTAGGATTCCCCTGTCTTTTTAGGTACTCAAAATGTTTTATATTTGTGAGTAATCTAGAAAACACTACTGTATTTAAGAGGAACAATTCCTTTTTGGGGCCTAGAGTGGCACTTTGTAAAGTATGATACATAACAAGCAATAAATAAAATCACTGTCAAATGAATAAAGCAAGCTATATCGAATAACGGCATTCGATCTATTGGCATTAAAATTTGGAAACGTGTCTTCTGTTACTAACCAAGCTACACAATGTAATATACCTTTTTATTTCCACCAACCATCTTCTTATTCCCTTTAAGAGGGACAGTATAAGTATTATAATAATTTTATCTCATTGAATTAGTTATAGTGCCTGGAGTTCCTTAGTGCTGTCCCTCCATTCAGTGTTAAACCACTTTCAGCAGTCCAATACGAAGAGTTTCCTGGCAACTCTACAACCATCTGACAACCACTGGAGGTAAGGTTAAGGCAGGGATTACGTTCTACCTTCTGTCCATATTAACTCATACCTATAATTGGTGCCATGATAGACTAAAAGTGGTCAACTGACACTTTTAACCAATAACAGCCATCCATTGCTGCTCAGGCTAATGTAAGCAGCACAGAGGGGACTCTCGCATTAAAAACTTAAATGGAAGGATGGCACCACACACTATAGCCACTGCAAAGAGATGAAGCAGTTACAATGCCTACATTGGCCCTTTAAGGCTAACAATATTCTAAACATCACAATTTGGACCAATATCTATCCATGACATGGATGGACTAATCCCTTTATATCAGGACAGCTTTGGCAAGGAATCGGTCATGCAGTGATTTATGACAGAATGTCAGCATAGAACATCCGGTTTATCAATCCTAGAGACACCAGCCAACTATAAAAATGAGATAGTTACTCCATTTCTGGAATATGCTCTTTAAAGACTAAATTGCAAGGAAGGAGAAGAACATGAATGGACAACCTCACCAACTAGATATCTGTTGTGTGAATTACCTTTCCCATGATGTACAGCTGGTTTAGCATCATGTAAACTGTAGTTCACAAAAAGTGGCATACCAAAGTCCCATTACCACTGACAGCATCCTTTATCAGCCATTAAAGAATTAATGCGACACATTTAACGAATATATGGTTAAACTGGGGTCATAGCTGATGCCCATTAAACTTCTGGAATAAAAGGGAATCATGACGGAATATTTCTGTCATGTGTCCTTAAGGGGTTAATGCAAAATGCAAACAAAGAAAAAGTAAAAGATTACAAAAGTTACTTTTAAAAGAAAAAAAAAATATCAACCAGAAAAATGCTAAAGTGTAATACATATAAAATGAAAGCTACAAATGCACAATACAGCTTACACTTGCTGACACATTCAATTTCTTTTTATAAGCTTGTTTCCATTATTGCTGATGAGGTTAAAGTCAAACACAGGTGATAAGTGTTGCGGAGGTGCATGTGCTTCCACTGCTATCGTATGCAGGAAAAAGCTGATTTTCAGAAAATCGGCTGAATCTGTGATGGTTAGAAAGAGTCCAGCAGCCAAGTACTAGTACAGTGCTTCTCAACTGCACAAAACTCTTTAAACCGTGTGGAGTAGAGAAAACCTTGGTGCTGTAAAATAGCCAGGTGATTTGTCTTACCGGATAGGAAGATACAATTTGGTCCAATTTGTAATTGTGGCATGTACAACAAGGACTGAGCTCATTTTCCTCTCAGTACAGAACCAAGCCACAAACTGCAGCTCTGTTCTGTGAAAACTAATAGTTTTGAAATGATTTCTATTAGTCTACAGAGCAGTTTCATTAATCCTGTATGATGAGTGGAAATGTCGCTGGTAGATAAACTATTATACAATCTCCTGCATAATGGCAAATGTTTTATCTCCATAATATTGAATATTGAATTGAATATTGAAATAAGTAACACAGAGCACTAGAAGTTTTATCTTTTGCAAGACCGTATCTTTCATTTAGTGCTTTCAGAATCTGATAATTTATTCTAATTTTTGATATTCAACCTTAGTCCTGCATTTTATAATTACATTTTAAAATAAAACAGCAGCAATTCCATTACAATTCCTGCTCAATTCCTGCAAATACAGCAGGATTCACATCAGGAAACAGTGAAACCCACAGCAGCTTGACATGATTCGCTTCATTCAGTCCATAGCACAAACATGCCAGTCTGTCTGTAGGTTTTCCTCATCTCCGGCTATGAAATCTGCCCTTCAATTAAGAGACTTCTTATCCTTAAGCACAGACTGAAAAGTAGTTTCTGTTTTTCTTCATTTTATGCATATTAGGAGAAATGAAGATCATCACAAGCCCAGTGACCTGCACCCATTTCCTCCAACATTTTTTTCCCCATCACAGCAGACCATATATATTATCCTTAGAACTTTTTTCCAGCACGTAACAGATAGTACATGTAATATTCTTACAGTTTAATATGAGATACCAGTCTTTCTCATCATGCCGGGAATTCCAAATAGAGGCGCCGATGGAGCAGACTAGAGAAATGGTGATTAGGGTGCCAAAGAGCAGCAATATCTGCACGTTTGTTATACGCTCTACGTTTGACAGCTTGAGAGGAGGTCTCGTTGAATTCTTAAATAAACAACAACAACAACAAAAAAAAACTCTTAAAACTTGCTTCTGTAATTAACACTGGTACAAAATGTTCTTTAAATTAAATCCTAACTTCAGGACTTTTTTTGCAGAAGTCTACAATAGTGCTATATTATTCACAGTCAACAGATAAACCATAAATGAAAATAAACCTCAAAATCATCATCTAAGTGTAACAGTTCTTTTGGTTAGAATATAATTTATCTTAATATTGCGGCGTACAAATAAAATCACCTTTAGGTGCAGTTACTTCCTCTGCTAAACAGTACTGCAGGGATCACTGGATAGAAGTATAGAGCAGAAGAAAGACACAGACCCATTACACTTTCAGGTGGCTAGTAGCCCTTTCAAGTGAAATGCATAATTATCCCACGATTCTCAAGGTATGCATCAATGTTTATTGGCCACCTGGGGAATCGTGTGACATTAATACAGAAGGCAAAATGTAAAGTCTGCGTAAGAATAGCATAGTATTTGACATATATGATAGAGAAACAGCTTAACAGGAATATAGAGTGAGACTTCCAAGAATTATCATTACAAGAAAATGTTTTTGCTGCTGTGTGAATAGAACACATATTGAAAAAAATAACGAGACCAAAATCATATACAAATGCCCACCTGCATAAGTTTTGTGTCATGTCCGGTGTACACAACAATCCCATGAACCCACTGTGTATTCCTTAACTGGGCTCCTCTCAATAGAATTTGGTCAGGACCCAATGGCACAGTTCTGGGGAAGGAAAATATAGTAAGTTAGATTATTGCATTTTTTATTTTAATAAAGTCAGTTAAGTATCCATTTTGTTAGGACAGGTGAGGGGGGAGATATTGCAATCAATTTAAACCAAAAAGTACACTGTACACATAGGTATGACACCCACTATACTCATGCAATAATGTATCGCAGTATCCGTGCAGTGGATTTGTCACTGATGTATTTCGTTATTAATGCAACCTCTGGCTTCCTCATTTACTGATGGTCTCCGATGCCTTGATTACATAATGGACATTTAGGGAATACTTCAGCAGGGATCATCAGCAGACAGGATTGCTTTGAAGCCATCATGCTATAGTCTACAGATGCAACATCTTGCTCTGTAGGTACAGATCCTGCACTCTCTGCTGCTTATCCCAGAGGTCATGTATTGATCCATACTAGTGAAATCAGTCTTGCTTCATGTGTTTCCCTCTACATTTTTTAGGGTGAAGAATGGTATGGGGATAAAGCTTTTTTTTTCTTTTTTTCTTTTAAAAGCAGCACCTAAATGTGCAATCTTTTTATTGATTTTAGCGCATGTGGAAGTGGATCTCATTAAAGAAAAGTCAATCCACGTGTTTAAGGAGATAATCTATTTTCCCTGTCTTATTTCAAAATCACAACAAAACATGCCAAGGAACAATGCAATTAAAGAACATATACACCATTATCTGCTAACCAGACAACTTAAGAATAGTTCATACATTCACACATTAATGCACAACCATCCTTCATTTGACCAACATGATCAGGAAGTGGCCACTTACAAGCAGTGCTGTGATTGTTCTGTGATATAAGACAGCAAACCCAATATATGGGTGCAATAACTGCACTGAAGGTGCATTCAATAAAGTGCCTACAAATCAAATCAACGTTTTGTAGTATGCATAAAAAATACTTGCACAAATCCCAGATTTTAAAAAAATTCAAGCATGAACTGTAAGCAGACAAAATAATTCATAGCATAATATTAGCAGTTAACATTAATATACAGTTATTAAATCCCTTTACACATCTTGGTTATGATTTTAATATTTTAGAGTTTATAGTGTAGTGGCAGCAGTGCAGTGTATGTTTGTGCAGAAATAATCAATATATATTTAATAGAGTTAATAAATCATATCTGAAATATTGGAAAGCATTGGAAAAACGGTTACAGGATCTGTCCTTCCACCATGTTATTGTTACATAGTATTTCTAAATAAGAGTTTCTAGTTAAGATTTTGCATGATGGGCTCAATTTTTGTATAGTGCTACAAAAACATCTCAAATTATGCTGTCCTGTCATGATAAACATATGCTTTTGCATTTTGTTCTTGGCAATGCATTTTCAAGTGAACCTGTGATGACAAATTTGCAGTTTTCATATGGCTTGACACAGGTTATACAATTAAATGTTTTTCCCCTTAATAGTATTAAAAGCTCATTTTAATATATTTCAGTTACCCCTGTTTAATGCTGTGTGTTACACTTGCTGTAGCTCCTGCATACAATGGTTTGGGACGTACTAAATTGCTTCCCATAACAGGTTAAAGCAGTGGTAGTCAACCTTTTTCTAACTACCGCCCATTAATGCATCTTTTTGGTTGAAAGAATTTCCTTACCGCCCATCAGTTTTCGCGCAAGTGCAGAATATTTTTTCGAAAGGAGGGGTTTTTAAATAAATAAATAAATGTACGTACATTTATCTTTTTATTTCTACTTAATGCATGTTTATAATGTTTTTAACTTTATAAAGTTTAATGAGAAAACAATAAAGTTAATTGAAATTACCTTTACTAGTGATTAATAAGATCCTTGAGGTTGATGCTGCAAGACTAAATATTTGATATCTGGTTCGATTTTCGTAAGGAACAAACTAAGGTCTCCTCTTTCGATTCAGACGACTTCTCTGTTTGCGCATAATATGATTTCTCATCTGTGCGTCAGCTCCCCTCCTCAATTCCCCTCCCCACCTTTTTTGATTTTTTAATCTTCCTTATAGCAATGCTCAGTAGGAAGGATGAGCTAGGTATACCACTTACTATTACTTACTATAGCCCACTATGACAGACACACACACACACACACACACACACACACACACACAAGACACACATACATACAGACTCACAGACATACACACACACACACACACACACACACACATATAGACACAGACACACACATACATACAAAGACACATACATACACAAGACATACATACAAATACACATACACAAAATATTTTAGTCACCCTCCTGTTTCCTACCTTCTAGGTGCAGGAGGGTGACTTTCCTTGGGGTCCAGTGGTGGCTCAGGTGGATGGGAGTCAGAGTTCCCACTCTGACTCCCCTCCTCCTCCCTCCCGTGCGGTCGGTGTGTTAGCTGGGAGGAGTGACGTGCAGTCACTTCCTGCCAGCTCTGTGATGTAATCACAGGGGGCCCGGTCGCGCTGTTAAAGTGCCCAGCGCTGACCGGGCCCCCTCACAATCCACATCCATCAGGTGGCCCTGACAGCATGGGCCACCCAATGGACCACTCCATATGTGGCCGGGCCGCAAGTGGTGATGGCGGTACCGGGTCGCAGGGATACTGCCGGCTCGCACCCGCCCAATCTCTCAAAATTAGAAAATCCTTAACGCCCACCTGCAATCCTGAAACGCCCACTAGTGGGCGGTAGGGACCAGGTTGACGACCCATGGGTTAAAGAGTTCCCAACACTTTATGTTGGCTCTGTATCAATTAAACATATCTGTTATCTCACTTAAAGGGACACTCCAGGCACCCAGACCAATTCTGCCCATTGGAGTGGTCTGGGTGCTAACTCCCACTACTCTTTTTTTTATAAACTGCAATAATTACCTTGCAGGGTTAACTCCACTTCCTGGATCATATCACAGGAAAGAGCGTCGCTGGACGTCCTCACGCTGTGTGAGGACCTCCAGCGCCGCTCATTTCCTCCATAGGAAAGCATTGAAATGCATTTTCAATGCTTTCCTATGGGGAGCGCTAATGCGCATGAGGACTCCCCGGCCGGTAGGCGGGATCAGTCTTGCCCACTGGCCGACGCAATCACTAGGAGGAGCAACGGTGGAAGAAGCAGCGACGTGGGACATGTAAGTTACTGAAGGGATTTTCACCCCTTCAGCAACCGGGGATTGGGGGGTGGGAGGGAGAGGGGACCTGCAGTGCCAGGAAAACGGATTGTTTTCCTGGCACTGGAGTTTCCCTTTAATTCTCAAATTGCCTGCCCAAAGCTGCAGCAATATATTTCTGGCTGTTTCTCTCCGTGTTGATGCTGATGCTACTCTCACAAAAGCCTGCCCCTCCTCCCAATTTCCCCTTGCAAGAGGTGCTTTACTTTAGATGAAATCAAGCACAAGAGATATACAGAGTATTACCCTTATAGCAGACATTCAGAGCACAGCTTTCTGGTCTTTGGTTCATCAACTAGTCACTGCAAGGCTTCCTGTGGTTCTGCCTTTTAGATTCTGAATGCGAGATATTTCAAGTAGGATTGTTTATATGTAGAACTATTAGGGATTACTAGTGCATTTAGTTTTGGACAAATTGCAATTCATTAAAATTTAGGTAAAACAGTTGTTCGTCTCTGTGGCGGAACCAACCTCGCCACCGGCTACTGGAGGAGCCTGGTTGCCCACCTCTTGCCGCTGGACTATGGACCTGCATTAAAAACCTTGTCTTTCCCTATGTGAGCAGTGTTACCCCATATAGCTAAGCCATTGAGCCCATTCGTATACCGAAAGACTATGGGAAAGACTTTGGCTCCATGGCGATTGAACTGTATGTATGTGATCTGAGCGCCATCTGGTAATAAAGTGCACTCAGATCTAAGCTATCTGGGCATATGTTGATTGTAACACTGTAATTGTCTTTTTACCAACATGTGGCTAATGGAGTTTTGCCTCTGTCATTGGAGATAATTAGATTACTTCCCAATTATCTCCAGGACAGAGAGGAGGGATTGCAATGCATTGTGGGATCTGTTTAAATGTGTAAGCTTGTGATTGGTCCTTTTACTCTTTGTGTCCCAGTTTCCCATCTGGTCCCCTAGGGGAGTGTCCACCAGGTGGGAGACCTGCATAAAAGCCGGGCAGGTAGTGCCAGTAAATCAGTTCTGCTTGACCCTCAAACGAAGTGTAAAGTGTAAACTGTTCGTATGTTTTTTCCTGTTCGGCTGTTTACAGCATTTGTGTGTTTCCTGTTCGGGAGTTGGAGTTTTCATGTGTTTGCAGTTCGGGAGATTGGTGATTGCAGTAGCTGCTCGTCTATCTGGAAGGGGAATATCGCCTAAACGGTTTTTAACCTCTTATGTGCAAAACGGTCCGTTACAGTCTCCATAAGTATCAAAGCGCTGCATGGATGTATAACCAAGCAAACTACTAGTGTGATGGACAAACATGTTCATTTGAGTAGTTATTCAAAGTTACCCATGGTGCAAAAAAAATAAAAAAATGTTTAATTGAATAAAAGGCGATTACTGTGTATGGGACAACCATGAAATGTTGATTTCATTCCCAGATCACGTGAGAAGTGACCAACAGTGGAAAAAGGAGGAGATGTAAAAACAAAAAAAAACAAAAAAAAAAAAAACACCTAGATTTTTCTAATAAAGAGAGGGGGAGAGAAAATATGAGATTCTCCTGGTGGCCAACTTATATACAGTTATATTACTCACATCATGGAAACGAGCTAATGAAACAGACCAGCTGAAGTAAATGCTAATTGTTTACAGGAGACTGTATTCTAGCAAACATTTACATCTGCCGTTGACCCTACTTACAGAGTACAGCAACACATACATCTTTGTCTTTTTTTGGAAAACCTCATACAAAAGGGGAAATGCACATATATAGTCAATTTATAAAATTATACACCCTATATAAAACCTTTTTATACCAAAAAGGTATTGTCTTTAACCTCCAGATCACTGTGTTAAAGGCAGATTACTTTCTTAAGAAAAGGATACAATTATATGATAAAAGTAGAAAGTGATCTTTGTGAGAAATGTTTCCAAATATACACTCCGGAAGTTCCCCTGTTGTGCTTGTGAACATGGTGGTTAAATAGCTTTTAATAAATAATTAGAATTTCAGAATATAATCTACCTAATGCAAATAAACAAAGAATAAAGTTCACACATTTGGAATTCTTAATTGCATGTTTGATTTTTTTTGTTGTTGATTTTTTTTAAAGTGTAGGCCTGGTCTCCCTAACAGAGATTATATTGTATTATAGTAGAGGCATATCTTTAAAACGCAGGCATAAAACTACAAATTCATAATAATTTGAACCACACTGCATATAGAGAACATTTCCTTCCTTTTGTAACATATTTTCAAAGCATAACGTGTAAGATACAGAAATGGTTTAAATATTTACAAACGCTTTTTATGTCTCCTGCAGACACTGGACTTCTTTTAAATATAAACATTATGAGGTGATAAAAGCAGACAATGCTTATTGTTTGCCATTCTTTTCTATATTGCGATTAACGTAGTGACATTACTAAACATTTTAGAAGACATCCTTGGTTTGGGCAAAAGTACAAGGAGAATTTTACTGTATTTTGGTATTATTTGTACAGTTAATCTTAAATCTGACATCTGCAAACATTATGTACTCTGTTACACTGCATTTGTATAGATAAAAACAAATTCTTTATTATTTCTAATTCAATAGAGGTTGCTTTTTAGCACCGTGTAAGAACAGAACAACGATTCAAAATGAAGGCAATCATTGACTGCCCCTCCTAATGTGCATAGTCTAGCACCCCAACTATAAATCATCTTTTTTTTTTGGCGTCACGGACAGAAATCACAAAGCAAATGACAATATTCAGCCATTGTCGGTCTTTTTTTTTTTTTGGTGATATGTCCATATGGAGCTTCGAAGTTCTAGAATTCTGAAAAATTGCAATTCGTTGAAAACAGAATGCACACGTCTATTGAAAATAATAAGAGTGAACCAATTGTTATTCTTTATCTTATATCATAATTTGAATTGTCTTTATTTAGGAGAAGCAGTCCCTATTATGGGCCCAAATCACTCTATTCCTCTTTTCCAGTAGCTCCATATTATTGAGCTTATAAGACTCACGCTAATGGGTTTAGTAATCAGTCTGTGTAAATAAGATACATTATTCTTGTTCTAAATTACAGTTTAGATGCATGAATTATTAGTACACCTCTTAGAATTTCTCAGAAGAGCTCCCATGGCCAAAACCCCCACACACCCCTAAAATTAAAAAGTGACCCTCTTTGTCCATTTGAAATGTTAGGAGGCATGCAGTTGTGGATAGGCTATATGTGTAAACTAAAATGTGAATTTTCAGGAATCCAAAAGTAAATTACAAAATTAAAACAAAAAGAGCAAAACTTGAAAAATTATCTGTTAGCTATTTATTTTTTCCTTTAAAATTCACATTTAATTCTCAATCATTTAGTGAATAACCCTGTATGGAGCCGTGACTTAAGCATTTAAAGCAGACTGTTTCTCACATGTTTAGGGATGAGGTTAAATCATTTTATAAAATTTAACCCTCTAATGCAAAATGCCGTAACGTATATGTCAATAGGCACACAAATAAGGCTTAATTAACAAAAGCTGCAGGGCGTACTTAACCCCACTGTTCTGTTTTAGTGTTATGGGCATTTGATATTGACCCTTTTTATGTTCAATTTATCACAACAGACAGTGAATGGTAAGAATTAAAAAAAAAAAAAAAAAAAAGTTTTTGGATTTTCCACTTGCTCTCTGTTAACATCATGCTGTGTCCCAGAGCGTATTTTTGTGCTTGCTAGATGATGTCAATATATTATTTATTGATGTTGGATGTGTGATCATCCAGAACTAGGCTGCTTCCCTTCAAGAGGAATGAAGCCATCCGGCCTTTTGAAAATGAAACCAGAGTAATCCCTTCATTAGATTTCACTTTTTAACTTTGGGAACAATCACTCTCTCTAGGTGGTCACCCAACTGTTTCATTTCGAAAGAAGACATGTAATACTAGATATTTTTTTTCAAGCATTACGTTCTATTTCTACATCAATGGGAGAGATCAGACAACTGTCAAGGGATTATTTCTGACAAAGCTTTAGAAAAGAATAATGCTAAAACCATAGTTATGAAATATTTATGGATAGCATAGTAAGTCTACCTAAGCCAAGAAATGATAAAGCTATGGCAGATTCCAAATTATATTCTTCAACGTCCATAAATTAAAATCTAAATGATTATGGCAGCTAAGATCACCTCCATGAGCAGCAGTTAAACATTTTATAATGAAGATATTTATGTGGCGACTGCTTTGTATATAGTGTATCTATGTCATTTGGATAGGAACAATGGAGAGTGTTCTTTTATTAAATATGGCCATACTGGGAATTGGCATTTCACATGTGTTTTAACATGATCAAATCAACTGCCAGAAGAATACTAAAAATTGTGCATATAAATAAAGCATAACTAAACATCATAAACTTTTATTATACAACAGTAAAATAGGAGGACTTTTATTAATGGGTATTTAAACATATGCTGCGACTTACTGAAATACAATTCCCTAAATCCAGATCACCAGCTAATGAACTTAGGAGAGTTTTCATGTACAATGAAAGTTTGATGCTTCCTGAAAAACTTTAGCTTTTCACAGAGAAGGGAGAGATAGCATTTTGTTTAGAGAGACACGCTATTTTGTTCTGCCACAGTCCATTCTCCACTAATGTTTAGATCTTTATATATGCACCCAAATCTACTTATTTAAAAGGCCAATTAAAAACATATAAATCAAACCCCTTTCGAACGCATGACTCATTTCTGGATGTGAAATATAAAGAATGCAACAGCGCTCCTAGTTATACCACGAACACTATAACATGGCTGCAAAACACAAAAAAGTGTATTGAAGGGATTATAGACTATCCAATGAAAATGATTAACTATCTGTGGCCACGTACTTGCAATAAATATAGTACCAAACAGAAAGAATGCCATATAGAGAATTTAATCCTACAGAATTTGTTAAATTATTGGAACCACTTTAAGAAACATACAAATTTAAAAAACAGGATTCTACCAGCATTGCCTCTCTTCTATTTTATGCATATAATGGAAAACCTAGATGGTGCAAAGTAGAAACAGCTAGGGATTATAAAGATCTCGGATATGGAATAAATCGGGCCCTATAATTTTTCAAAACTTGCAAGTGTACAATATTCCTGACCAGGAGATATTCGATTATATTAGAATTACGTTTCTTAAACTCAGGACCGATATATCTGTTGGAAAAGTTTATCTGAAAGGGCAGATGAGTTACATATATGTTGGGAATGCCTAATGATTAAAACAGGCTGGACTGTACTATTTTCTATGATTAATAATTTGCTTAACTTGAATCAGATATGAATGGCTAAAATGGCCCTTCTCCACTTACATTTACCAATGTTTGCCAAAAATAAAAAAAATAAAACATTTTCCCCACATCTTGATGGCCTCTAAATGTTCTATTGCTAAAAATTTGAAAACTGATAAAGCAGATATGTGGCCACAAATCAAAGAAAGTGAAATTTCAGTGCAGAATGGAACAGGCAATCACTTCTAGCTTCTGTATTAATCAAAAGAAATACAACATATGGGATAAATGGATAATGGTCTTGGATTTGCAAATAAGGGAGTTTTGAGACTGAGAACTTGTGCATTCTGTTTGTTTTTTTTTTTTTAAATCAATAGCTCCAGCTATTATTTAGACTAGTTGTCTTGTGTGCAAGTATTTGTTATGTAATATTGTATTTAATCAATAAGATACTTTTATACTGTTATTGCCATATTAATGTCAAAATATGAAAATGAATAAAAATGTAAAAAAAAAAAAAACAACAACTGACATCGTTCTGCTGGGTGAAAGGGAAGTGGTTCTAACGATATAAAATGTGAACATGTTAAATATCTAAAAGGGAAGTTAGTTTTACTTTTTGTAACACCAAACTTCCTCATAATGACAACTCAGACACTACTTTGTCTTATAGAGGAAGCCCAAAAATGACTAAACTTGATAAGTGGAGCTTTTGCTATCAATATTCTCACAGCTGTTCTTGGCAAAGGCTGTGGGCAAAAGGCTTCTTAAACACTGAAATAAATTAAATGAAGGATCCTGAGATCTTGCAGAACCCTCCATAGACCTCTGTGTTGTACTCTTGAGCATGGACACCTTCTCATGAGGGACAACTTCAGGCAAGTACATCGCTCTTCAGCTTTTACCTCCCAGATGTAGCTAACTAAGAAGGCACGTAAACTTCAGTTGTATTTGCAAAATCTGTAAAAACCTTTAAAAGTGAAACAGCTGCTTTACAACACATAAATTTTACATAAGAATGTATTTTAACAGAGATCTACACACCCCTGTCCATCTAGCCGGATGTTTCCATTAAAGTCATATAGATGTCTATTAGGACTTTCACATTCAATCCTGCCAGAGATGCTCATCAGTGTATCGATATCCTTCATTTCTGAGGTTTGAGACATACCCTGAAATAAAAGTTGAGAACCCATTATTAGCAATTCCTTTTTAGTAATAATCACTAAACAATATAAAGCTTAACCAAATGTATAATCAAATAAGCCCCAGGGAAATCCAGAATTCTCCTGGGTCACTACAGGAATTTTTTTCTGATGTCTGCTTTGATGCCAAATGTCCTCACTAATCTTTATTGAAATCAAAGCATTTGTCGGTCTCTGTAAAATGTATCTTCAGGACAGGGCCCCTATTTATGGAACACATTGCAACTCTCCTAGATAGGGGCTCAAGGACGCCAGCCCAACACTTTTTTTAAAAAAAATAAAAAATTTTAGAGATGTTATTTGCAATTCTAAAATAATTAAATATTGTATTCTGTCGTTCTGCCTTGACTGTTACTTTCATTTGTATGTCAATGAGAAATAACTCCCTGATTATTACTTAAAAGTGGTATAACGATGACAGTGCCACAAAGTATTTCAGAAGGATAACATCTTTATGAAATACTAATTTGTATGTTACCTTAATACATAGATACACTGCTTAGAAATCTATTTATTAAATAGTAAAATATACTTATAAACTGAAGACCTGAAAATAAACACTACAGGGATGTAGACTGTTCAAAGAAGAGCCCCACAAAAAAAAAAGATTTTGCTGAGAAACAAATTTTCTAGATTTTCAAGATAACAAAATACTACGCAATCCAAATAATTGCCAACATATCCAAAAATACATTCATATGATTTTTTTCAAATATTAGAAGTATAAAAGGCTTACCTGTCGGATTTTAAGATTTGTTTCTCCATCTAGGTTTGAGGTTTCAATGTAGCACATGGCTTGAGGCTCACTGTTGTCAAAAGATGATAGGAGTTTTTATTATTCATATATTGAGACATACAAAAGATTTAACAAGCCATACAAGTCCAAAACAACCTCAATGAGGCGAGAGAAGAGAAAGCATTCATTTACAAATAATTTTGGAAGATGTCCTACCCCTTTATCAAAAGCAGGTAAAATCTTAAGGTCGATATTTATAGAATTTTGGAAATGTGGGCTTTATTTTTTTTTTATTGAGATATATAGTATACAGAAGGGTCACATCCTTAAAATGCTACCCTGACAAGATAATTTTAGAGTATTTCTGGCTGCATCAGTCGTGAAATTGAAAAAAAAAAATAAAAAATTCATACTATTAAAAAAAAGAAAAAAAGACCATTAAATGATGGATATATATATCTCAAATCACTTGAGTGACTTGTGGTCTAATTGTATACTTAATTTACTGTTTTAAGCGTATCAACCTATTGGAGAGGAAAACCACATAAACCATGAGTGACAAATGGACAAATCCAAGGATTACTGTAATGTGCTCAACATTAAATGCATCAGAGCCAACATGCATTAAGTGGATATCATTGGCTTCATGCATTTAAAAGCAAAGTTCTGCATGCCCAGAAGTAAAACCAAAAAGCACCTCCAATATTATATGCAAATGCAATACTCTTCTTTAATCAGAATTAGTAAGGGAGGGGAAACTGAAGCAAGCTGCTTTCAAACAAGACCAAAACACAAACTGTAAAAGAATTGCTTGAGTGGATTAGAGTAAAAGCCATTTTATTGCCATATTAAAAAAAAAAAAAAAAACAATAAAAATGAAAAGAAAGTGAAAGTGTTGAAACATGCACAAAAATCAAAGAAAACCAGTTATAGGATTGCATGCTTCATATTAAAAAGTGCAGTTTTTTGGTTTGTGCAAGGGATCCTCTTCAAGACACATTATTCTGAGCTGGCCTTGTATTCTAAAAATCTGTCTACCAATGTATAAAACAACCCTGTGTTTATGGTCCAGCTGTTATGGATCATGTTTTTGAGAAATGTTATTTTAATGTGGCATGCTATTTTATTTCTCAATACCTACAGTAAACCAGTCATGGTTCGATTGTTTTGCCACATAAGTAAAAATAAGCTGGTAAGTGGGTAAAATGTTACAACTTCAGCTGTTGTAGAACAAAGATTCCCACAGAGGAAGATGTAGACCTACAACAGCTGGTAATCTACCTGTTGACCATTCCTGGGTTATACACAATACTATTTTCTCCTTGTTCGTAAAATAATCCTACAATGACAAGTGCTTTGTCTATTCAAAATACTTGTTTTATCAGTCTTCTACATATATTAAGGTCATTCCAAATACGAATCAGAACAAGCCAAACCAAATCAGAAATGTGTAGTATTAGACCATTCATATAACGTGGATGAAAATGCACAGGTGAGTGGACTAGTGCAAATTAACTGCCTGTACATTGATCTAAATTTTGGTCAGTTATCTGAATGGTCAACGGCAAGAAGCTCAGGTAAGGAGGATCCACTTGCACATGTTCTGCACCGCCACCATCCTGACCTGGACGAAAGACTGATGAGATCTGCTGGGAGATGTTCCCCATTGGTCACTTTCACTATCTCCCCTACAGCCACCTATGTATCCCAATATGAAAATGATCAGGACAAAAAAAAAAAAAAATGAGTAACAAAATGAAACAAAACATACACAGACAAAACTGTGGAGATCAAGGAAAAACATTGGGTTAATAATACAAGGGTTGGAGTTTTCAAAATCTACTTTGAATCAGGTCAGGTGTGAAGTATAAAGTGAGACGATGGAATGAGACATTATGTGATGTGGCATAGCTGCTGTATGGTAGAGCTGCAACAGAAAGCAAATATCCACTCTGTTCATAAATCCATTGGGTGCTGGTTTGCTTTAAGAGCAGGGCAACAAGAAAGAAAAATATGCTTTATAGAAAAATGTGAACAGCACATCTGATGCGCTTATTTTTAGACAACTTGGTAACAGAACAAGAGGGTGACAGACTTTGGTGTTTAAGGTGTAAATTAAGAACGCACAAGTCAGGGAAAGAATACATCCACTGCATCATTATTTCCAGAATAGTGTTCTATAATTATTATTCACAGTGAACTTTCTGGTGTTGATTAGGGTTTGCTTATGTTGAGACCTGATGGCAAAATAGATTGTGAGAACATGCAAGATCACATTAATGTATCGAATTAAACTTCCAAGGAAATGCAGATATAGGCTGGCTTAAATACCATCAAAGGCTTATTAACCAATAGCCTTCTGGGAACATTTCTTACAATAAGACACAAACCTTACAGATTTTACACATATATTGCTATGGCCTCTGATGCTAGAAGTACATAGTCAGTGAGGTGATCATTATTTTACTGGATAAATACTTTTTAAAATAAAAACCTTGCGTCATCATCATTTCCTTGGAACAATTATAAGTCAATACAGGGTAGAGAAACCAGACTCTACAGTGTTAGTAACAGCAGGTGTCTCTACCTTGATGAGAGAAATATAGAGTCAGCGGGTATATACTCTTTGCCATTTATTTTAACTATATCTCCAACATCTATCTGAAAGAAAACTGGGAACTGGTTAATTGTCTGCAAACAGAAATATAGACTTGGGTTAAAGCCAATACTGTAGGCCTTTGACCAAAATGTGAAGCATTAAAAACTATTAGATAGTCATTGTACATCAAGGAAAGGCTACTGTGAACCTCCAGCAGTTGCACAACAATTCCAACTAACATCAGCTAATTTATCATTGACAGAGGCAGTTTTGCTTATGTCTTTGCTTAAAGGACCACTATAGTGCCAGGAAAACATACTTGTTTTCCTGGCCCTATAGTGCCCCCACCCTCGGGGTCCTCCTCCCGCCGGGCTGGATGGCAAGGAAAGGGTTAAGTCTTACCTTTTTTCCAACGCCGGGAGGGGAGCTCTCCTCCTCTCCGGCTGAATGTGCATGCGCGGCAGGAGCTGTGCACGCATTCAGCCAGTCTCATAGGAAAGCATTCATAATGCTTTCCTATGGACGCTGGCGTCTTCTGTGATTTTCACACTGAGAAGCACGCAAACGCCTCTAGCGGCTGTCAATGAGACAGCCACTAGAGGCTTTAGAGGCTGGATTAACCCATTTATAAACATAGCAGTTTCTATGAAACGGCTATGCTTGTAAAAAAAATGGGTTAACCCTAGAGGGACTTGGCACCCAGACCACTTCATTAAGCTGAAGTGGTCTGGGTGCCTAGAGTGGTCTTTTAAGCACAAATCCTCCCAGTACTGGGTTACAGTTTAATGGCTTTTATTTATTTTTAAAGGGAGCCCATGATGTAAAACAAATAAGAGCAGAACATCTGCCTAAGCCAATGTAAATGAATGTACCTAGCATCTGTGTGATTTAAAGAAGCTGGTTTCCTTGTCTACTTGTAGTTATCACAGAGATCCTAAACAATTTAACAAAAAAATAAATAAATACAACAAAGTAAAAATAAACAAACCTACTAAAAGGGACACTATAAGCACCAAAAAAAATAAACTACTTTAGCTTAATTAAGCAGTTTTGATTTACAGATCATGTCTCTGCAATCTCACTGCTCAATTCGCTGCCATTTAGGTGTTAAATCCCTCTTTATGCAGACTTAGCCACAGTTCGCTGCGCAACTCGCAGCGACTGTCCTAAACACTTTCTGTGAAGAGAGATCCAATGTTTAAACTTCTTTTATTGCACATTCTGCTTAATTGAGAATTTCTTATCTCCAGCTCTGTTAATAACTTGCAAGAACCCGCAGAAGTCTCCTTTGTGTGATTCAAGTTCAATTTACAGAGAAGGAGATAAAACCGATAGAGCAAGAAAATGAAACCATTATGTTTTCATGCAGGCTGTGTCAGTCACATCTAGGGCAGGTGTGGCTAGGGCTGCATAAACAAAAACAGATGTGATGCAACTCCTAAATGGCAGAGAATTGAGCTGTGAGAATGCAGGGACATGACGTATACACGGTTAAGTAAACTTTTATAAGATTATAAGTAAAAGTTGTTTTAGTTCCTATAGTGTCCCTTTAAGCTGATGCATGTTACTGCGTCAATCTACATGTAACCAGTTTAAATGCAAAAAAAAAATGCTAAATGTTTAAATGTGTGCGTCTATGCACCAATTCTAAATGATAACTTGCTCATACAAAAAGTCTATTTCATTGGGATGGAGACAAAATTTTACCACAAGTGCCATATTGGCATGTAAAGAACTGCTACACTGGAATGTGGGTTTTTATGTTTTTAAAGTGGCATTGGCATGCAAATTATCTATAAGTGTTCTTTGGCTTTTGCAACACAGAAGATTAGTTGCCAACAAAATGATATAACCTGTTAAAGAGGAATCTCTGATTAAATGGACTCTGTTCTCTCTTCAAACAGTCTTACAGAACGTCTAATTAAAGCTTTTTGTTACCAGAAGCTTTTTATTTAATGTAACAATGTAATCTCGTTGTATTTAGCAGGCTCCAAGGCCTCATACAAGAAGTGCTAGAAAAATATATGCTAGGCTGCCTCTCACAGTACAATAAATTGTATGCTGGACAGCTAATTTAAATGCATTCCTGCCCATTGCATTTAGGTGCTGTGCTGAATTTTATTCAGAGAAAATCAAGTGCATTTCTACATGAGATAAACATAACTCTGTGCAGTATTCCTTGGGATACATCTTGAACAAAAGGCAAAGAAATGTTGCCTAATTTGCAGGAGAAGAAAAGGTCTGTTGCAGTAACCAAGCACTCCTCCTCCTGAGGACATATGGGTATAGAGGGAGAATGGATGAGGGTCATGGATTATCAAATTAAATCCTTGTTTAAATGCATAGAAGGGGAGACACACTTATAAATAAGAGATCCTTAATGTTTATTGGCTCATTGTGACTGCTCGGGTTATATGGATATGCTTAGCAGCTGTTAGACAGCCAATTATCCTTATTTGTTAAGTGCAACTTCCATGAACCCATTAACTAGGATGACAGCCAAACTAGAGCCTGGAGACAATAGGGTTAAAGAAGACAAACCAAATGCAATGCCAAAAATAGAGGCTCCCATACTCCATTGCAATGAAGATCAATTATTTCCAGTTAGTTGAATAGAGAAGAACACATTAAAGATTTAGAACATGTGGCCATTAACATAACTGCATTACGATCAGCTTTCCATTTCTAATGTGTCTCTTGGCACCTCCATTACAGTGAAGGCCATTACAGGAAATCTCATCTGAATCTTCCACTTTTCTTTCTACTGGCTTTAATAATAAATTATAAAAAACTATGCAATGTTTCACTCAATTGGCCAAGGCATACCTTCAGGATGAACAGAGAGGTTGGCCAACAAATCCCTTTCCAGTTGTGGCTCCAAAGCCTTATGGGAGTTGCAGTTCCACAACAGCTGTACTGTCTATTGATGGTTGCACATGTTTTACAATATGAATGGTTTTTCCACAGGTTGGCAAATATTCAGGAACAATACAAAGCAAAATATTTCTAAAAAGTTTGCTTTACGATGTTCTCTAAATAAAGGAGGAGAACTGTTGATGATCCGGTTTGTTAAATAAACTGTTTACATAGACAAATAAAAGTAATTTATATAAACTACCATTGATGCAAGTAGTCTAATGGTGTTTCTTGGGGTGAGGCTGTGGGTCAGCTTAATGTTTATTATAAAGACTCAATAGGTCAGTCTTTAAAAGAATCAGAATAGGCATCCAGACTGCATCATCTCAACGAAGTAGTCTGGGTACATTGTACTGTCCTTTTAGTCCTGCAATGTAAAATCATTGCTATTTTGTAGATATGGCAATGTTTTCATTTTAGAACTAAACACACCACTGGCGGCTGTTTTACGGACAGCCATTAGAGAGTGCTTCTGCTGGTACGATGGAGTTTGACTCTGTTATGTGATGTTCAACTTTGATCTTCAAATGCATATAGGGAGCTTGTAGGCATTATATGACCACTGTGCTTGCCGCGTCCTTGTCCTCAATGCTTCTCTATGAGAAGTATTGGATGGAAAAACAAATATGAGACAACCTGCAGAACATGGCAACTAGAGGCCACATGGTCCCTGAATCTAAAATTATGAATAGAACACTATTGCTTCAGTAATACGTGTAACACTATAGTATTTTTTTCACCGTTTTGTCATGTTGATGGTTTATATAAATAGGCTATTAAATTAGTTAAAACCTACTCACATAAGACGCCTCCAGGGTTAAAGGAATACTACAGTGTTAGGAATGGAGATGCTGACCTAAGGTGTGACACTGACATAGGAAGTACCTCTAGTGGCCACCTGAGTGACTGCCAATAAAGGTGTCACTAGGTAGCTATGAAAAGGCAGTGTTTTAATTGCTCGGCCTGCTGGGACATTCTACAAAAAGAACCATTACTTTAATAGTGGTTCTGGTGACTACAATTTCCCTTGTTTTCAAACTATGGATTTCCACAGCTGTAACATAATACTAAAATACATTGGCTTAGGCTATAAAAAGCATTTATTGTGATAATCATAATTTCTATCGGGTACAAAAAAAAAAAAATGTAAGGAAAGTCGTCATATTAATTTATATTTGTAAAAAGAAAATGAACTAGATATCCTACCTTTTCCCAGTGTACTATTTCCCACGCACCATTTCTCAGCACTGAAAGAAGCAAAGACATTGAGCAGTGATAACATGTCAAACTATTTTATCAGATAATTAGAAATGGTGAATTATGGGAAAAGATCACCAAAGTGAACCTATATGCAAATTTGAGAAATTTCTCTCAGCTATTTTGGAATAAGTATTGCGATTTCAGTTTTGAATCCATCACAATTTACTGCTTAGCAAATAAATCCCAAATGCAAAGCACAGCCTTAGGAGAGCAAATGCAACTTGTGACATACAAAGTTATACCGATAATTCAATTATATTAGGACTATAGAAGGATATGCTTTGTTAATCCAAGGAATACTTGGAAAACGCTCATCCGTTTATTTAGCAAGTTTATATTTGACCTCACTCACAAAACCAAACAGGTTGTTTTGACACATGTTAATCCAAAATTATTTTTTATAAAATAAATACATTTCAACAGGATAAATCTGAGCAAGGCAGGAATATATTTGACTGGTGTCCATTTTATAGGCAAAGCATTTCCTGCAAAGAAATTACTGTTAAGCTTCAGCTTCTACAAACAAGAAAACAGACCTAAGGCATTTGACCAATGGGAGCTAGTAAACATCTGATACAGGTATAAAATTAGAACAGATCCGGAGTCTTCCCTAGATCTAATAGCGTGGCACCAAACAGGCATGTTGTTTGAAATTATACAGCAAATTACAAATGTGTCATGCAAGGTTCCATAACACCAACTTGGGTACACGGTGTCTTTGCAATAGATATCCTTGCTACAGAAAGCCAGCACATTCCTTTCTTAAACCATGCCTACACGTTCCAGTGATACCAAGAAATATGTAGCACTTAACACGTGCAAACAATCAAATGCAGGAAAAAAAAGGCAAAAACAAACACTAGATAACATACCTTGTGTGTTTTTCTTGTTCACATGAGTGTCTGCTTTATGCCGTTTCTGGAAAGAAGGACACGTTCATTTAGTATTCTGTGATAGTCTTAAATACTACATTTAAAAAAAAAATTACATTCAAATATGTTTTAAGTTTTGAATATCTCAATGTACTGTTCTTGGATTCTTTTTATTTGATTGGCAGACTCATGGAATGTAGTAACCAAGGATGCACAAAGAACCCTGCAATAGAATACAGTCTCCAGCACGCACAACTAAGCAGGTACATACTATTATGCTCAACAATTTTCAAGTAGAAATAAAGGAAAGACCAGAAGGGACTTGAGAGATATCAGGCAGCTTTGGATTTTAGCTGACATCACTAGAAAAGTATCACCTCCATGTGCTTTGATGTTTAAAATCACATGCAGAGGTAATATCTATTTTTTTTGCATTATCTGTATATGTGTAAAACAACATCAAATGTATGGTAGACCCACAGTAACGTGTTTCTTTGGTGTCATGCAATATGTCAAGCAAAAAAATAAAAATGTTATTTCAGTTCATCCTACCTTCTGATCCTACACCCTATCCCCCAAACCAAGAAGGCGGAGATATTCTAGACAATTCTTGTCCCCCTATACTAATAGCAAGGGTTCAGAACTACTAAGGGGATCAGAAAGAGGGTGTCTGCATAAAGCTACTATGGCTTGTACAGTTCCGGATATCTCCGATGTCCACAAGAATTAGAGGCACACAACTGAATCCTGCAGAGCCCCAAGGATTAGGACAATAATATAGGGTTCACATCTACAATTATGTCAATTACTGCAATACTTGCAATACTAACTGGAATGAGAGCAGAGGATGGCATTATGGTATAGAACCTATCCATTAAAAACATGCATTATTTCTTATTGTGAGGAGGGAGAGTTAAATTATATGACAACAAAATGCACTTTGACGTTATTGTGCCTGCAGCAACTTTTGAGCAGAGCTGCGACCTCTACCGCAGCGAGATGTGCATTGGGAAAAGTATAAAGCACCTTACCTAGGTTCTAGGTCAGGCAACCTTCGGTACGCCAGGTGTTTTGGACTACATCTCCCATGATGCTTTTCCAGCATTATGGGAGATGTAGTCCAAAACATCTGGAGTGCCGGAGGTTGCCTATACCCGTTCTAGGTAGTGGCTCAGACATGCGATACCCCCGAGGACGGCGTGCGGTTACGCCGAAACGCGCGTCGGGTTTATTTATTTTGTGTGTTAGCACTAATGATATTTTTGTATCATTCACCTGGGGCTACAGTTATCTAGGTCGAGTTACTAGATCAGAACACCCATGAAGGTGTTAAAAGGGAGATAGAGTGTTAGCTCAGAGAGATGGTTGTACTTTGGGATTTTTTTGGTTTGGGAAAGGGTTTATGCTTATGGGTTTAGTATTGCTATTTGCATCCCTTTACGTAATTTGGGGTTTTATGACCCCTTTTTGGGTTACTGCATATTCTGGACCTACTCAATTAACCCTCCCTCCTTTCCCTCCTTCCATGTCTTCTTTGCTCTATGTGTGCACTATTTAGTCTATTGTCCCCCTTTTTTTAGGACCTTTACCATATTAGGCTTATTATTAGCCTTTTAGTATGCTACACCTCTCTCCATATGAGATTCTAGATACCTTCGTCTAGTCCCAGTTTTTTTACTAGATTCTAATAAAGTTTTTTATTTTTTTATTTTTACACTTACTGTTATGATTGGACTGGGTCTTTCTCCTATTGGCTATCTTCTAGTAAGGTAGCTTTTTGGGTATTATTTTCTAATTTATAATTTTTTGGGTTATCCCCTATTACCCAGTCTAAGTGACCTTATTTACTCGAGAGACGGGAGGTGGGTAGGTTCTTTTCTCCCTACCTTCCGGTCTCTTGTGTTTTCCATATATAATTTTTAGTGGCTCAGACATGTAGGCCTTCTATTACCATAATGACCTGTGCACTCACCTTTCACTTTTTCACAGTTATTCACTCACTGGGAAAGACTGATTTACAGTGGCTTGCCAGGCTGTTCTTTGACAGCCTTGCAAATAATGTAAAACTAAAAAAGGAACAAATACCTTCTGAATAGATTATACGACCAGAACATATAGCTAACATTTAGTTAACTATAAAGTTGTGTACAAAGATCTTATTAAAATGTCACTAAAACCATCCAACCTACAAGCATCATGTGCGGTCATTTTTTTTTTTTTTTTTTTCCTTACGGTCAGTGACATATATTTCAAGTATAGATTAAAGGTATATTTATGATATTGATTCTCCTGTGGGGCAGATCACTAAAGGCAAACTGTTTAAGACACGAGTTTCAAACTTATTAATTTAGGGAAGAACTGTTGGGAATTCAAAGTGAAAATGAAATTTAATGTCAAAATAGACACAGTGGAAACATAGCTGACTGAATTTTACCTTCATGACGAATTTGCAATTATTAGTATTTGAGTTTAGTTGGAACATCATATTGTCACCACTTCCACTCATGCAGCACATCAATTGGAGATGTACAGACAGACAGGGAAGAAATATATGCAGATTCAGATCCTAAGAAAAGGTTGACAGAGCTGCAGAAGCTTGATTATGGCCCCTACAGCCATTCAATGGATGTGAGCATCAGCTGATTGCTCTTAGTCAACGAATGATATTCTTTGCACTGAAATATGCACAGAATTGACATCAGCCAGTCTAGAACTTGTGACACCCCAATGACAGTGCCGGAGGTGAAGTTACTACACCTCCAAAATGAAAGGGGTTAAACTCCGTATGTGCAGTGCACAATTAAGTGGTTATGGTGCTTGGAGTAACCCTTTAATGTTTTATTGGTTCTGGAACAGGGTTTTATATGGAAGCTTTAAAAGAGAACCTCTGGGCACACAACAACTTAAACAAAAATGAAGTTGTTATGGTTCCAGGAGGTATCTGGCAGAAGTTTGCTTTTAGGGGTTGAACGGTTTAACCTCAAAGTCTTCTCTCCACAGTTGCATAGTTCTACCCCAGTTCTTCAGCATCTGAAAGTCTTCAAACAAGAAACCCCAGAATGCCGTAAACGTAAAAGTGCTTAAAAAACCCATGCATGTTTATGAATGATGAACTACGAATTGCCGTACAGTGTCAGCTGATGCTCTCGGGCTATCATGGTGCCCCTGTCCGTGGCAGTTTTAGGATTACGATTTGTAGAATCTCAGAAAAGTGGAAGGACCTAAACGGGTAGACCTAAATGGTGCTGAATAGAATACCATAGTTAACAACAGTTTTTTAACCCAAAAGGCAAGCCAGCAACAGGAACTTCGTGGCACTGTTACAAATTAATTTCAATTAAGTTGTTTTCATGCCCAGAGTGTTCCTTTAACCCCTTTAGGACCGGACTGTTTTTGCGATGTTTGTACGTTAAGGACCAGAGCAATTTTAACACTTTTGTTGTGTTTGTGTTTAGCTGTAATTTTCCGCTCTCTCATTTACTGTTCCGATACAAATTATATATTGTTTTTTTCAAGACAAAAAGGGCTTTCTTTACATACTATTATTTTTATGTCATATAATTTAATTTAAAAAAAAATAAAATGTGGTGAAAAATTAAAAAAACATAAAACACTTAAAAAAAAATCTATTACTGATCTACACAAATCGAATGAAAAACTGCTAGATGGATTCAAAATTTTGTCCTGAGTTTTAAAAAACCCAATGTTTACGTGTTTTTTTGCTTTTATTTGCAAGTTATAGGGCTATAAGTACAAGTAGGAAATTGCTGTTTCAAAATGTACATTTTTCAAATATATCAATAGTGACATTGTAACACTTATGTCATAAATCTCCAAAAAACACCCCACATGTATATATTTTTCTTAAACTAGATAACCCAGGGTATTCATCTAAGAATATTTTGATACTTTCTATGCAGCCATTTTACCACAAACCTTTGCCAAACTTTGCATAGGTAGTTATTTATTTATTTTCACATACATTGCAATTCAGGTATAAATTCACAGATTCTGTTAGGTGTCACTGCCAAACAACACCCCAATATGTGTTCAGCAACATCTCCCGAGTACAGGGATACCCTCCATGTATAGGTGTGTCTGGTTGTTGGGGGGGGCTAAAAGGCGACATTTGGCAGGTGCGCAGTTTCCCAGCTTGTAATTTTGACATGTAGTCAACCTTAATGCATGTCCTATTTGGTACATTTTTGAAGCCGGCCAACGTATTTTACCCCCATCAAACCATATATTTTTGAAAAGTAGACACCCTAGGGTATTTCACATGGTGGTATTTTAACACTTTCCATGCACTAATTCTACCACCAGGCTTTGTCAAACATTGAGGTAGTACATTTTTTTCCCAAACACATTGTACTTTAGGCATGAATTAACAGATCCTGTTATGTGTCACTGCCAAACAACACCCCAATGTGTTCAGCAAGATCTCCTGAGTACAGTGATACCACCCATGCATAGGCCTGTCGGGTTCGTTGGGGGTTAAAAGGCCACGTTTGGCAGGTGCGCTCATCAGTTTCCCAACTTGGAATTTTGACATTTAATCAACTTGCGCCCATGTCCCATTTGAGCCAATGTATTTTACCCCCATCAAACCATATATTTTTGAAAAGTAGACAACCCAGGGTATTTTAACACTTTCCATGCACTGAATTCTACCACCAGCCTTTGTCAAACTTTTGGGTAGTAATCTTTTTTTGTTTTTTTGTCACACACATTGTACTTTAGGCATGAATTAACAGATCCTGTTAAGTGTCACTGCCAAACAACACCCCAATATGTTCAGCAACATCTCCAGAGTACAGTGATACCCCCCATATATAGGGTTGCTGGGTTGTTTGGGGGCCAAAAGGCAACAATCAGAACTTTTACATTTAGTTTTTCAACTTGATCTATAGGTATGTTTGGTCTATCTTCAATTTGACATATTTTTGCACCCCCCAGTTAATGTTACCATCATGAAAGTATATATTTTTTATAAATTACACATCAAAGGTTATATTAGATGGGGTGTTTTGACTTCTTTCCCCGAACCATTTTGCCCCCCAAAATAACAGAGAAAGTGTAGTGGTAATTTATTTTAATTCTGGTTTTTATGCACACGTCATCTGGTTTTGGCCAGCTGGTTATGTGTTACTGCCAGAAAACTTGTTAGACCAAATGTGCAGGTAGCAAATGTACATTTAGCAGCAATCTTTAAACGGACTCCTGCAAATAGAATCTAGCTGGAGATTTGGGGGAAGGAAACTGACTAACAAAAAATGGCTGCTTTCCAAAGAAACAAAAAATAAAATAAAAATTCAGGAACACTTCTTACAACTGTTCTGTGTGGTACAGCTTGAAACATGTTCTTACACACAGTCCTGGTTTCGAAGGGCAATCAGGACAGTGAAAAGGGGTGTCTGTCCTTTTCCCGCTTTTAAAACAGACCTGGCAACGTTTCTGGGGGTTTTTTTTCTAGCAGTTGGCGGTAACTTAAAAATAAAATGTCAGGACTCAGCTTGCACCGTTGTTGGAACTTGTCCATCTCCATAAATTGTTAAAGAACTTATTTTCAACTGAAATTGGAGAAAGGTGTTTTTCCCTGGATTATTTAAAAAAAAAATTATGAGTTGTGGGTTGCTATTTGCATTAGATAGATAGCCACCTTTTTATACCATGCTTTGGTTTTTCATAAAATAAGAAATGGCTGCATCAGCTGATCAGCCAAATCAACACCCCCATGTACTTATTATACGCCCTGATGCAAACCAGTGTGGACTCTACTCTGCCCCGGACAGAGACGTCTGACATGCGTTCGTCATGGATGGTGGTTAGCATGTTTAAATCCTTCCTGTCCCAAAATTTTAGTGCAAGCACTTCAGCTTTGCGAAGTGCTTTACATTCGCCTTTTTTTAATTTTGCCTCTATGAGAGATCGTGGAAAGTCTTTGGAATTTTTTCTGGCAGTACCGCAGGCCAGTGTCCGTAAACCATAAAGCGTTTTAAACAGATGGACACTACTATAAAAATTATCCACATAAAGGTGGTAACCTTTATTAAACAAGGGGTTTAGTAGGTCCCATACAAGTTTCCCACTTGACCCCAGTGAGTCAGGACAGCCAGGAGGGTCCAGTTGACCATCTTTCCCCTCATATACACGAAAGGCAAACGTGTATCCACTTTCGCTCTCGCACCGTTTGTACAGTGTTATGCCATACCTAGAGCGCTTTGAGGGGATGTATTGTCTGAACCCTAATCTCCCTTTGTATTTCATTAGCGATTCATCTATGGATACATTTTGTTGGGGGGTATAAACATCAGAAAATTTGTCCTGAAAATGGTCTAGCAGTGGGCGTATTTTATGAAGCCTTTCATATTGGGGGTGTTCTCTAGGGTGACAGAGGGTATTGTCACTGAAATGTAAAAATCTCAGCAGTAACTTGTATCTGGCTCTAGGCATGGTTTGGGAGAATACTGGACTAGATATTATTGGGTTGGTGCTCCAGTATGAGCGAATGGATGGCTTCTTTATAATTGTAAGAGACCAGAATTTTTTAAGCTCTGGGACATCTGTGGGATGCCAGTCATGCTCCTTGACTGTATAGCTCCTGGATTGTTATCAATAAATTGGGTAGCATACAAGTTAGTCTGGGGAGCAATCTCCTCCCAGATGGTAGCCCCTACTGCATTGGGGAGAAGCCATCCACATTAACATTAATGCCTGCGTTGGCACTAAAAGGGGGGACGTTGGGCTCGGCTAACTGTGGAGGTACCCAGTCCTCCTCCACATTCGGCGTAGCAGGAGAAGCACAGCTTCTTTCAGCCAGCTCACACACAGAAAACTGACTTGGGTCAAAATCTGACGTATTGTCAGTGGCGTCAGAGTCTGACGCCAAGAAGGCATATGCCTCCTGCAAGTTATACATATGCTGCATGTTTTACACATGACTAAAACAAATTACAAAAACACACAATTTTTTTTTCCCCTTATTTTTTTTTTATTTTTTTATTTTTTTTTTTTTTACTAAAACAGACTAAACAGCAATCCCTAAACTAACTCCTGTCACAAAAATCTAATGGAGATTTGGGAGAAGGAAACTGGCTGACCAAGACAGACCAAAACAGATTTTTAAAACAAATGTAACCCTTTAAGGGCAAAAATAAAAAATAAAATACAGACAGTACAAATGCACTGCTGTAACAGATCTGGCAGGGAAGGGGTTAAAAGGCGATTTTTTAAAATAAAATACTGATACTTTCTATAGGTCACTGAACACTGCTGCAACAAACTATCACGATCTCTGTCTCTCTCGCCTCACAAAATGCTACAGAGGAGAGAGGGGCAGAGATCACTGTCAAAGTGAGTCTTTGTAACACCCACTTTGACAGCAGCCAATTGTGAGCGATTGCAGATGTCTGGCAGATAGTTACAGCGTTATATCGGCGGGAGCGATCTTTGATCGCTTCCCACAGCCCGTTTTTCGCTATGACGGTTCAGGACCGTCAGCAGTCCAAACGCACATTTTACCACTGACGGTCCTGAACCGTCAGCGGTCCTAAAGGGGTTAAATACAAGTGGGTGCCATCATTGGAAATCATAATTACACTTTAATGCTAGAATGAAAAATTAAAATGTGAACACACATCTATATGTATATATACACACTTAATGTAGTGTGTGCATTTACATTTCTTTCCTTTTGACACTATACTCGAAAGTCGCTGTTTAGGTGTCCTAAACTCGGATCTCAGGAAAAAGGTGATTTCACTGACCTTTTTCTCTCACTGCGGCTGGTCCCGCATGAATCTGGCTATGTGGCAGAGATGGTCAATATGAATGATCTCCACCAATTCAATGATTTTTCCATAGGAAAGCATTGGGAGGCTGGGAATCATTGCATCTCTATGGGGAACGTTCAGTATCTCCATGCAGAGAATGGAGACACTGAATGCAGGTGCTGCACATCTGAGTGACTGCCACTAGAGGTGTTACTAGGCACCAATGTAGACACTGCATTTTCTCTGAAAATGCAGTGTTCACAGTGACAAGCCTGCAGGAATCGGTTATAGACAACAGAATCACTACATTAAAGGACCACTATAGGCACCCAGACCACTTTAGCTTAATGAAGTGGTCTGGGTGCCAGGTCCATCTAGGATTAACCCTGCCTGCTGTAAACATAGCAGTTTCAGTGAAACGGCTATGTTTACAAATTGGTTAATCCAGCCTCTAGTGGCTGTCTCATTGACAGCTGCTAGAGGCGCTTCTGTGCTTCTCACTAAAGACGCCAGAGTCCATAGGAAAGCATTGAAAATGCTTTCCTATGAGACTGGCTGAATGCGCGCACGGCTCTTGCCGCGCATGCGCATTCAGCCGATGACCGCAGAAGAAGGAGGAGATTCCCCAGACAACCCCTTCCTCACCCTAGAGCCCGGCGGGAGGGGGACCCAGAGGGTGAGGCGGACCCAAGGACCCTACAAGTATGTTTTCCTGGCACTATAGTGGTCCTTTAAGCTGTAGTGTTCTTGTGACTATAGTGTCTCTTTAAATATAGCATATTCAATACAAAAAAGGGAACTAAAACCTTTTACTTAAATATACACACATGCAAATAAAGTACGTGTTTAACACTCAAGTAACACAAACACTGCAAAGATTATTTATGTAACCACATGGGCAGAAGGAAGAAACATATTCTTACTTTAATAAATAACCCTGCTAACCATTTAGTATCTATGTCACCGTAGCCTTCACTAGAACACAAAAACTAAAATTATATATGAGAGGAAAAAAAAAAAAAAAAAAGTACGATGTGCTAGAGTATACTAAGAACTGGCAACAGCTCAAATAGCTTGCCCTTCGATGAGTCCCTGCTCAGTTCTCAAGATGGTTTTAGCTCATCTTGTGCCATTCGTGAGAGAACCTAAACCATTTGTATTTTAGACTGAGCCCTCCCAAAAGTGCAGAACAGATCCAAAATGGAGTCCTGGTCCACCTCTGCATGAGATATACAGCAACCCAAGACAATCATTTCAGCCCTGTTAGGCCTCATCAGGGTGGTATAAAAGATACCCCTGTAAGTACACTTAGCAAGAGGTCCATACCTGGATTATTACCTTATCGTCTTAGGGACAGCAAAAACAGCATGCAAGAGAAAATTATATAGGACTTAAATGAAATACCATTTTTCAGCATCAGCAGCTATGTAGAGGCCTGAGGCGTTACATGGAGGAAATCGGGTGACAGGATAAATTAAGTTTCTATGTATTTCTTTTAAAAGCTATTATACAAATAGATTTTCCCCATAACAAGCCTAAGAGTGCCTGCCTGGGACTGGCGGTACAGTGTATACTAGTAAGGGGTAATATGGATAGATAGCTTTAGCTTATTATTAGTCTATAGGTGGAATTACATTTTATAAAGAACCCATAGCTTTCAGTGTAATTGTCTCTCTTGTCAAGTGCTTGGACCTAAAGATCAACGGAATCAATACGAAAATGCGTAAGACACTTTGTTAAATGCAACCTAATATTGTTTTATTATTTTAAACTATCACCTATTGTCTATTATGCAGTTCCCATTTATGTCCATACTTAAATAATACTGCCTGGAGAAAGGGTGGCTCTCATTCTGTACTAATTGCTTGGGAAACATTACTAGCATAATCTCTGAACCGATCAAGGCACAATTCAAGACAAGAAATTTACCAGATGAGCAAAGCAAAGAAATAACACCAGTTAAATCTGTCTTTTAAATATAAGCGGTTTCCATAACATCAGTTCACCAATCGAGCGATTAATATAAAAAATATAATGCATTACTTTAAAGGGACACTCCAGGCACCCAGACTTCTGCCCATTGGATGCCCATATGGGTGCCAACTCCCATCACCCTTAACCCTGTAAATGTAATTATTGCAGTTTTTACATACTGCAATAATTACCTTGCAGGGTTAAGTCCTCCTCTAGTGGCTGTCTATTGCCGTGCATGCGCATTAGGTCTCCCTCGCCAGCTGACGTCGGTGGGAGAGGAGCCAGTTTTGTTTTCCTGGCAATGGGGAGCCCCTTTAATGGGTGCTTTGCTTTAAAAAAAATAAAAATAAAATAATAATAATAATAATACAACAAGAAAACAGCCACATCAGTCAAGCCAATGCACATAATTATTTTACAGCAATTCTACACAGAGAAGTTAAACAATTCTAGGGCAAAATTCTAAAAAGGAAGCAATGAGCAGGAGCGTTGGTTTCCATGTGGACTGCGCAAGTATAAAATTGTCCCAGAAGCAATCATTATCAAGTATGAGCAATATTTTGGCCACAAATGAAAATGTTTTCTCCCTAAACGCTAATGCAAAAGTTCAGATGTGCCCATTAAAGCTAAAGCAGCAGTTGACAAATAAAGACAAACACATTCTAATCTGCAGGTTCCATATAATTCAGCATATTAAAGGAAACCATTAGTTGTGTACACTGGTGGTATAAAATAACACTGGAATAATGAGTCATTAAAATCTGTGGCTTTGCTTTATTCTATACTGCAATGAATCTCTTCATGTTAAAATGTATAAAAATATAAACCATGTTTTTTGGTCTATCTCCAACTTTGATGTTACAAAGACACACAGAAATGAACATTAACACAAAAAGGGAATATATAAGGGTAATAATCCAGTAATTAATCAGTGACAGAAAGTAACCACAACAAAGAACAAAAGAGCAGTCTGGACATTGTGATTTACTAATTAATCACACATTCTCATCTAGCCTTCCACCACTATCTTTGATAACAGCACAAACTTCTTAAAAAAAAAAATCCTCACACGATCACATTAATTACCCTGACTTTCAATTAACTCAATCCTTATTAATTTGTTTTAGATTCCAGGATAGATGTTCAGCTATTTCATCCATAAAGACAGCCATGTAGAATTAGAAAGTACCAAAGCACAATTACCAAACGTGGAGACTGTCCTCTTCCACTGCCTCTACATTAACACTATTATCGAAAGCAATGTAATGCACTTGCCAACAATGGTGGGCAGAACGATGCTTCAGGTAAGACATGGCATTTCTACAGGTTTTCACACAGGGCAAGAAAAACATGTATACTTGCCGCTACCAGAAACATAGCCGCTCCCACTCGTGACATCAGCGTTTTACTGCAATGGCGGCTTCGGCATAAGGGGAATGTCCTTTGGAATAACAGTCTCTTTGAGTACAAAAGTAGGCAGTCAGAGGCTTAGTCAGTCATTTTCACATTGTGTGCTAATCCACAAATGTAAATGTGTTTTTATATATGAAATTAAATTGTCTAGGGGTCAGTTACAAAGTAGCCAATAGATTGTGTTAGCAGAATTTTCAAACTGTGACATATTTCGGGAAAATTCATTAGTCAGTCAGCAGCTATAAATTATAGAAATAAAAAAAGAACGGGATTGTCTCTAAAGTGTGAAAATAGCATTTGACACGAACATTCCCTAAAGCATTGGACTACCTGACACAGATGACAGTGATCATTGTCCTTTAATACATCAGCAATTCAATTTTAAAAGCCATTGTGTGAGGCCTACTGGGATTGTTTAGCCCTGCAGCCTTTGTGAGCACTTAAAACACATTAAGGGGGAAAAATGGTTTCAGGCTTCTACTAACATGACAAGTTTTAAAGATTCCGCAGTCCCGCAGTTATAAAAAAAAAAAAAGAAATCATGTTCTATCAGAAAAAGCCTTTATAAAGCCAGCATAAAAGCATGGTAGACTGAATTGTTATAAGGCTGGATAAAATTCTAACATTAACAGGCAATATACTTACAAGATCTTCTATTATTTCTTTGATAGCTGCGACAGCCAAAATGAACAAGAGAGGGACCAGTGTTGTATATCGGCCAGTTGGTGATACATCGGGAATTTGCTGCAGAATAAAAAAAAAAAAATAGTAAAGAAAACTTAAGCCTCACCAATTAATCAACACAAAGACGTTAAATCCAGAAAAATGAGAGCACGAACTCAGAATTTCCACTTCTTACTCTTCTTGTGGTAATTGAGAATGTATCTTGCTTTTATAGCAGTTTGGGTTATTAAACACGTGTTACAAATGCAATGGCTGCAATTTAACTGCACGTCTTCTCTTTAGACACTATGTTTACTAGAACGAAACTGTAAAGCCTGAAAACCAGTGATTTTTATAAAGCAGAGGTCAGCATATTGACCCACTGAGGACTCTAACCACTAAAATTGCCTACATGCTAAATAAAACAGCTGGGCATTAGATTGGCTTAAGGCACAGCTTGTTCAGGCCAGACACATAAATGACTGAATGCACAGTGAACTCCATACTACACTAAAGGAATAGGTCTCCAGTGTCAAAACAAATGGAGGACTGGTTGGAAAAAATGCCTAAATGACACTAGGTAATGGACCTTAGCATGCATTGTCTTTATTCTCAAATATGATGGCATGCCTGCAACACAGATGGGTTGGTAACAGCAGGATGAATTGTTTAAAAACAGCAGGATTTTAATAGAAATTTTTATCTGAAGACAGTGTTTCTATAGCAGCGATATGGTCCAAATGTTTGAACCACTGCAGCTAGATTACTTATCTAGCACATTCAAGGCATTTTGGAAAGAAGTAAATATTCTGTAGCATGGTTAATAATGCACATCAGATTGCAGTTCTATTTATACAGTCACAGAGTAGGATAGATTTAGTATATGTTTTAGCAACACTTTGTACATTTTATAACACTGTAACATAATATATTTTCAGGCTGATGGGACTCTTCCTGATAGTTTTATATCTTCCTTTCTTCCTCAAATACAGGATTCACTGCTGTATATCTAGATCTCACATCTGTATATTACTCCCTTATATCAGGTAAAGTACAGAGAAATCAAACCATGTAGGAGACCTATTGCCTCCAGAGAACTGGGCAGACTGGATGGGTCGAATGGTTCTTATCTGCCGACACATTCTAACGGTCTTATTTATTAAAATCATATAAACCATTTGCACTTTATTTTTAGGAACATGGAAAAAATAACTTGCTTTTGTAAAAGAAGCAGGGCTTGCGATGCAAATTGTAATTCAACTGTAATAGAGACAAACTGGTCACTATGAAAGCACACTAATGGATAGATTGGACATTTTGCCAGTCTCACAATGCGGTTGATCTGTATGCTATAGGGCAGGCTACAGCATAATGATACAACCCATGGCACCTGTCTTAACCTATACATCTGACTGTTGTAATGGGCATTTCGAATAATTTTTTCCCCTTTTATTTTCTACTTTTTGTTCCAGTATTATTCTAACAAATTTTTTTTTTTATTTTTTTTTTTAAAGGAAGCAAATTAGTCATTACTTAAGAAATGTTAGAGCATTTCCTTCAACAAATATTTAAACTATGAAAAATGTTCATTCAGTTTCAGGAGCCCATGTGAAGTAGTTTATACTAAAACCTCAAATAAAAGCGATGACGTAACAGAGAAGATTCAGCAGCTGGACAGCTCCCAACAGCAGTGGAAAGCTTTCGTCTATTAAAAAAAAAAAGTTAACTGAGCATGAGTAAAGCACTACGAGATTGCTTATAAAGTAACTATTCTAGCACCACATGCTTAAAATTAGTCACTGTAATTTTTATTTGATTTCATATAAAAGGTAAAATTTGCTCTTCCCTGTCCATCCATTCAAAAGTCAAATTTTACCATTGTGTTGAGAACGGACCCAAATTCACAACTGAGACTTAGGCATCCGTTAAAAAAGAAAAATAGCCTGCAGCCCCCCTTATTTTTAATCTATATGAATGGATTTCTCTCAAGCTAGCATTGCTGTTGAGGAAGGACAGAATTTCACTTCATATTGCATAAGAGTAGTTTCCATATTAGTGGATTTGAAGAGCGGGCAGGCAATGGATGCTGGGGAAAGCCCAATTTACTCAAACCATTTCAATTATGGTTTGACCAAAAAAAAACTACCCACAGCTTCATGGCACCAAAACCAGTACAAGGAGTTGTAATGGCTCTTGTATTCAGTATTGGAGGCAATTAAGCTTTATAGAGGCCGCTAACTACGTAGCTTACATAAACAGTTAACGGCAACACCAGATTTTTCTTACTGTGTAGACAAAACGTCCAAAGCTCTAATGACAACTTGCAGGTCACTGAGCAATGGTGTACGTTTGCACTGTCTTCGATGTCTTGTGGCAACCTTGCGGTTTCGAAACCTCTGAGAAAGCATATACAGGAGGATGAGATTTACCAGAACTGCAAATTCTGATCCTACTGCACTGACAACAGAATGCGCAGAAACCCGATACATTATCTGATGATTTGGAGAGGCTGTTCTTAAAAACACAGAAGCATGCAAAGCTACATTTTCATTTAAAAAGAGTTGAGGGACTTTCAAAGGCAATGATAAATGTCAAGCTGAACTTCAAAAGAAAACAACAAATATATGTACGGCTACCACATAATATACTGTTATATTTATTATGATAACCTATTCATCAAGACGCACACAGTGCTTTTCATTTGTGCACTGCAACATCCGTAGTTTACTCCCTAAACTGGATGCACTGCAAGCCTGGTGTTCCCATTACAAACCAAAAATCATTGTGCTCTCAGAATCATGGTTAACGGCTAAAATACCAGACACCGCCATTGCAATACAGGGTTATTCATGTTTTAGAAATGACAGAGCAAAGAGAGGAGGAGGCATTGTTATTTATGTTGACAATTCCATAAAGTTTACCCCTTTACAAAACCTTAGTCCTCCTGCCATCTTTGATTTCCTTTCTGTCAAAATTGAGATCCCGTGCAGTAAATCAATCATTGTTGCAGGAATCTACCGCCCACCTAGCTCCCCTGTGCATTCCCTATCTGACATAGCCCATCTCCTTAGTGAAACCATAGCTCAAAACCCAAAAAGTGAACTGTTGGTCTTTGGAGATTTTAATATTGATTGGCTGAACCCTAAAAATAATAGTTCTTGCACGCTGTTTAAGACTTTGCAGCTAACGCAATTAATCTCCTCCCCAACTCGCATAAACATAAAAAGCCATAACCATACCCTGCTAGATTGGATTCTCTCCACTTCTCCTGATAGAATCCAGGAGGCTGGTGTTCTCCCAAACACGTTCAGTGATCACTGTTTAGTGTACTGCGTGCGCAAAATAAAGGCTATTAAATCCTCTCCCAAGGTTAAAATAACTAGGTCCTTCAAAAGATTTAATCTTGAATCCTTTTTAAATGACATCAAGAATCTCCCATGGCACAGATTAAACATTATCCCAGATCTAGACTGTGCTGTTGAATACTTTCAGTCTGAACTCCTACAAATTTGGAATTTGCATGCCCCGCTGCGTAAGGTGAGGGTAAAAGGAGCGCATATGAACTGGATCACAGCTGACCTCATCCAAATGTACCAGTTTCGGGATTCTTTGTGGTCAAAATTTAAGCGTACTGGCTCTATGAATGATCACGGTGCATATAGACAATGGCAAATATATGCACAAAACAGACAAAACTGGCCAAGGCCCAATATTTCTATGAAAATCTGAACAGTAACATCTCAAACCCTAGAAACTTTTGGAAAGTCATAAATAAACTACAAACTCCCCAAATCCACTCCCAACCCTCCACTGTCAAAGTGGGTAACCAAACCCTGCAACTTCCCTTAGATGTAGCAAATGCCTTTAACAATTATTTTGTCGGATGCTCTACTGCCCTGATTGCCAAGCTAATAAATGACACGCATCCTGAAACTACAAATGTGGATCAGGCCCCACTAAATTTGCAAAGGCCCAATATAGATAAGTTTAATTTTAGACCTGTACCTGTTAGTGTCATTAAAAAACATCTTAATAATCTAAAAATGAAAAACCAGTCCGGACCTGATCAAATCCCAGCAATGCTGTTGAAGCTCAGTGCGCCGGCAATTGCTAAACCCGTCTCAACTCTAATTAACGAATCATTGGTGTCTGGATACATACCCAAACTTTGGAAGACTGCGAGAGTAGTGCCTATCCATAAAAGTGGTGACACTACTTTGGTTTCTAACTATCGCCCAATATCATTGCTCCCTGTATTGTCAAAAATCTTAGAAAAATGTGTCCATACGCAACTTTGTGAGTACTACCAACAATTAAACTATCTGACCCCTGATCAATCGGGCTTTCGCCAGAATCACTCCACTACAACTGCCCTCCTAAAAGTTTGCAATGACATCCAAACTGGCATGGAACAAGGAGCCCTAACTGGAGCTATTTTCCTTGATTTTGCTAAGGCCTTTGACACAGTAGACCACGACATTCTACTGCACAAACTCGAAAACTCAGGTATTGGTGATCATTCTTTAAACTGGTTTCGATCGTATGTATCGGATCGCTCGCAATATGTGTCCATTTCTGACAGTGACTCCCTCCCTCTCCCGGTCACGTGTGGTGTTCCCCAGGGTTCCATTCTCGGCCCCCTACTATTTACATTATTTATAAATGATCTGCCTAATGTCTGCCAATCCTCAAATGTACACATGTACGCAGATGACACGGTAATCTATGCGAGCAAATCCAATCTACCTCAACTTGAGGCTTTGCTCCAAGACCAGTTTACAGAGGTAGAAAAGTGGATCGCAAAAAACAAACTCTTCCTGAACACTGACAAAACTGTCACAATGATCTTTGGAACGGTACCTAAATTACACAAATTACACAATCCCCACCTATCCATCAAAACAAATTCAAATGGCACACTGACCGCGGTCCACTCTTTCAAATACTTGGGTATGATATTAGACCCCAATCTATCTTTTAGCCTGCACATAGAAAAGCTTGCATCTAAACTTTATCCAAAATTAGGTGCCCTGTACAGAAACAAAGCCTGCCTAAGCCCTACAGTAAAGGAAAAGATTGTACAGCAAATGCTGATGCCAATCATTGATTATGGGTATGTAGTATATGCGTCTGCATCGCGATCCCACATTAATAAACTCAACACATTGTATAACTCATTCTGCAGATTTGTGCTACAATGTAATTACAGGACCCATCATTGTGACATGCTAAAGGAACTAAACTGGCTGTCGCTGGAATCCAGACGCACCCTTCATCTTTCCAGCCTTGTTTTTAAGAGCTTTTCTGGGAAACTCACACCCTACCTGAACAAAATGCTTTCCCCAGCTGTTCCCACTTTCTATAACCTCCGATCCAGTACAAGCACTTTACTTAGTCTACCTCAATACAAAAAGAAAGCGGCCCGATCCTCCTTCTCCTACAGAGCGCCGCAATTGTGGAACGACCTCCCGCACAATTTAAAATCTTCCCTAAGCCTAAAGTCTTTTAAGAGATCCCTCTCTACATACCTCAAAACAGAATGCACGTGTCATGGTTGATTATATATTTCCTGCCTGTTCTATGTTAAATTTTTGTATATATTGTGTATTAATATTGTTTTTGTATTTTGTTGTACCTAATGTAACAATGCAATGATTTGTGGACCCAGGACATACTTGAAAACGAGAGAAATCTCAATGTATCTTTCCTGGTAAAATATTTTATAAATAATAATAAATAAATAAAAATAATTTCATGAATATTTTATCTTCTCCGTGGAAAACCAGTGTTTTTCTAACTCATCCTGATGTGTGAGCAAAATAAAAGCCGATTTTAGTACTGACTGGCCCAAGTAGAATGGTCCCATCATGGTGCCATGACTGCAGCTTTGCAGAGACGGCACTGTACTTTATTGTTAGGAGCACTGTTGGGCCCTTCTCATGTAACATAGGAATACACATTTTAAAACATTAAAATAGAAACACAAAGCATTCAGACCACGCAATCCCAATGAAATGGTCTGGGTGCAGTGCCCGTACAATCTGAACTGCCATTTACCTGGAAGAGCACAGTTTTCATTGCAGGGTTGACCTCTTAAGGACATAGGTAATTTGCAAAGTTCTAAACCAAAACAAAACCTACAATTTGCACTGTGTGTTTGCTCCACTATAATTTAAAGGCTGCTATTTAAGTGCGCCATACACATTATAGATTATTTTTATATATCCTAAATGTATAACACAGCATTAAGTATGAATAAAATGTTAGGATGGCAAAGGGTTAAAATGGAGAAAAATATCTTCACATTTTTGCGTAGAATGACTTTTTACACAAAGTGCAACTAAAGCAGAAACTCAAAATAGATCAATGTATCAGTCCATTCAGTTAATTTTTAGAAGTCAACACTAACTTTATACCCCACCCACCCACAATGCTACACCAACGATAACCGTATACCTACCCTAACCCTATGCTATCCCTAAAACACTAACCCCCAATCCAGCATTAACCCCTAAAATGAGTACTGATATCAGCAGATGTGTTTCCTAGTTAAAAACAGATGAGCTTGGTATGGGACTGCCATCTGACTTTTTTCCCCCAGTATTACAGGGAGACATCCCTAGAATACCGATATCAAGCACGCTTCTCAAGTCAGTTACACTTTCATTAGTACTGGAAAGCTGAAAATGCCCAGCATTGATCACAATTGGCTTGGGGGCATGCACAGAACACAGTCATTTACAAACCCTGGGGGTCTGCCTTTAGCTGCTAAAATGCAAGAAACACTGTGCCTGGTTGAATGCACGTGTACTCAATCAATTTAAATGGACTTGTTCTCACTGAATTTTAAGGGCTATATGCAAAGCTAACTTTGAGTGCTGTATACAGCTCATCAGTCTGCTGGGACGATTAAATATGAGTTCATCTCACAGAGGGGATCCCCAGGTATCAGCTGGTATCTCAGTCTTCCTGATACAAGCAGGGATTTTAATCCTGATCACACCACATTCTAGTAATGGCCATTTAAATGCCTATTTAAAAGGCACTTTGAGCGCTGCACACAGTTCATCCAGTCAATCTGGGGCCACAACATATGGCCCCAGCTGACACAGAGGATTGATCCTTGAGACATCCAGGTGTGAGCATTGATGTAACCCTGCTCACAGCAAAATGTTAGGATGTTCCAGTCAGGATACTAGTTGATCCAGCACGCAGAACTGTATCACACCTAAAGACTAAGGATAACATCTAACCGGACCTTAGAATGGCCGGACTTAACGTACCTGAGAATAGGGACAGAGAATGAGATGCATCGAAGAGGAAAGCCAGAAGTCAAAGATACCAGAAATCAAGCAAAGTCAAATACCAGAAAAAAACACGATAAGAAACACGCTCTTGATAACCAGCTAGTGGAAACAATGACAGGGCACTGGCAAAAAGGCAATTTGGGTTTAAATAACCCTCTTTAGGCTGTAACTGGCTGTCTCCGACTTCTGACCCCAAAATGTGCGTGCACGTCCATGACGTGACGTCGCACGCACGTTGGTGCCATCATTAATGTGGGCTAAGGTAAGTTTATGATAAAATCCTGAATAGCAGCGGCCAGCGTTCCTAATAACGTCGTACCTAATGGTGACCGGAACGGAGGGAGACCGGGCAGCTGCCCGCCGCGACCAAGGTAAGTTTGAAACCGTTCAGCCACGTCAAAAGAAGAACTGAGACAGTTCCATGTCATCATAACAGCATTATGGTCAACTATGGACTATGGCATAAAAGGTCCTACCATTTGGGTTAAACACAAACCTTTGATAGGCACTGAATGGTGATTTGCACCACATGTATATTAGCCTACCAAAGCTTCCCTGTGGATTGGCTGAAACCAACAAACACCCCAGGGAGGTGGGGTGGCAGCATAGCGACTGGCAGGCACCTAGTTAGTAGGACACTAGTGTTGGGAATACATGATAGTTTTCCTAACACTATAGTGTTCCATTAACTTTTGGTTTCCTCCTTCACTATTCGCCTATTCTTCCTTGCAATAAGGATCAGACCTCTAGGGATATAACTAGATTGTTTTAGACTGACACAGAATGCACATATAACATTCTAATGGATCCCCAGCACAGGCTTAAATGGACACCCTATGCAACCACTACAGTCCAGAGTCCCCAGGCACTGTTCACTAATGATCTGTCAAACCATCTATTATCTTGTAATTTTGGATACGGTCATCATTGGCTGAATGTTTCATCTGACACCGGACAATGAAAACCTAGTATTATTTAGAAAGCGCCAACAATTTCTGCAGCGCTGAACAATAGTTGAGAGATGGTATAATAATGCAGGAGTTTCAGCACATCTTACATAGGGAGAACTGAGGGCGCTGACACTGCAAGGTAAGTGTCAAACCATTCATAAATGGCATGACAGATTATACGCTTAGGCACCTAGGGACTAATTGCTCACTAACTACAGGGCACTGTAGTAGTCTTGGTGCCTAAAGTGTGATATAAAAACAAAATAAAAATATGAATTGTTTATTCTATGAATGCATACATAAAAAGTAAATATCCCTTCTCAGTGCATTGTATGGCTAACCATTCTCCATGAGGGCAATCAAAGTACATCTAGGCTCATCTACCTTGGTATAGGGTCCACACCTTCCAATATTGAGAGGTACGCCTATACTTCAAGACAATGCACAATTTGAATGACTAAATAATAGATCATATGATAGATCAAAGCTACACATGAATCTGTACTGTGATGTTAAACCCAGTCACTTGTGTCAAAGAACAGCCCCACACGTCACTCCAAAAAGGAGCCTAATAACTGACTCACATACCCCATATACCCCTTCCAGAGACGTTGTCCCAGAACACTGGCCCTTCTCACCATGCCCTCCAAGCCCATTTACCAATTTCCCTGGGCTGTCCATGGAGCCGTGAGGACTGTAGTGGTACTTACAACTTTTCTGGAACCCCGACACAGTCGCAGTTAACCCACTCTTTTGGCCCCCTTCTACCTCAGTTTCCCCCACTTCTTAACCAGCAAGGAGAGTGCCCTTCGGAGGGAATAGACTATGCATTCTCCTGAATAATCGCTCCCAGAGAACCAAGGGAAGCGCCTCTTTTTCAGTCCACAGGACCTCACGATTTTTGGCCAAAGCCCCATCCACCCTGGACTCTTTTGGGCAGAGACAGTACTAGCGGCCTTTCCCCAAGTGGCGATTCCCCAATTCTGCATGGATCTGAGTGCTTTTTTGTCAACTTGGGTGCTCGGATCAGAGTTATTCGGGCATGTATAATATGTGGGATTCTTGTGGGTTTTTGTTAGGTTTCTGGGGATATTTTGTGTTGTAACCCTTGTGTCCGGGAGATAATTTAGCAACAGTTTACACAATTAGCTCCGAAACACAGAGGCACCAGGGCAGGATCACTGTACTATTGAATAGAGACCCTGTGCATAAATGACTGTTTTGGGGACAATAAAATCAGATCTTCTCCCAGCATGAAGTCTCAATTAATGCATGGGGGGGAAAGGCTATAACAATGCTATACTGTGAGCTATAATCACTGAATACTGCGCTGCATGGGATACTGCAAAGGGGAAAGAAGAGCCTTGACGGTGACACTCTGGTCCTTTAACGAGTGGTCCGCCACATGTACTATTGCCTCCTACATTAAGAATAGTAGATCAAATATTTATTAAACAGTTTCAAATAGATCAAATATTCACTTAACCACAAAATATATACAAACCATTGCACAACTCATTTTAATTACACACACACACACACACACACACACACTTTCCCAAGTAAATCTATAAGAAAAGTAAATCTATAAGAATGTAAGACCGCTGTGTTGTTATGGGCATAAATATTACAAGTTTTAGAATGAAATGTTGTATTTCTTAAACTGTGTACTTTGTCTTTAAGAGATACTGCAAACTGACAAGGTGTTAGAAATGGAACATTTTGTTTTTCATAAAGGTTTCTTTAAGCAATAACCTCAGTGCATAATATGTTTGCACCATTTTGTCCCAGACGAATTACAATAACAATAATGCATAAACAAGCTTCAAGGCTATGCTACGACTCTTTCAGTACACAATATACTGTGGTAACCTTAGTAGATAAAGATGTTTAGACTTTAAGATTCCATCTTTACCCAAGTCAGGAAAATTTCCATGACGTATACACCCTTTAGTTATGGCCAAGTTAAGGGAGGTCCTAAAATGAATAAAGTAAAAGAAGTGTTACTTTTTCATATATGAACTATGGTAACCCTAAAATGGAGACACCTCAGGTATAAATAGGTGTACTTTTAAATGTTAAGGAACAGAGGAGAGACTTGGAGACAGACGCTGCTCCATCTTAAAATGACAGAGAGGCTGACATAATGACATGTTCAGAAGGGTATGTTAACCTATTAATGATATTTGCAAGCATTTAATCTTATAAACTCTGCTATAATGGATTTTATATGTCCATATTTATATTTTTATATAATAAATATCTAAAAACACAAAACTTTATTGCTTCCAAGACAATCATTATTTTATATTGTATTCTCAATTATTTATTTATGTTAAATAGAGGATCTCTTACACTAACTATATAAAATTATGGCTAAGATATCTGTATGGTTAGCCCTAAGTTCTATGCTTTAAGACGTTATAGTGGTAAATAGGGGGACCAGCCGCGGTTACAGTGTAAACCATAAAATACATTTATACGGGCATTTGACATCTTAAATAATCTCAGCTGTACATTCCAATTCTAGTGACCTGACATTTTACACTGGCTGTTATGAAATGTATCATGCTGGTGCAGATCCTATCACTATCTGTCAAACAATGGAAAGGTTGGACATTTAACACTAGTGTTCTTGTATGAGCTGACAGTGTAATTACTGCCATAACCCCTGCAGCAACTGCCATGCATAAAATAAATGTGAATTCCTTTGGCAATATAGATTACTGATAACACTGCGTGTTATGTTGTGCTAAATTTAAACTACCCTAAATAAATGTGACCTCTCACATAGTAAACAAGTTTTCATAACTACAATATAGAAAAATATATTATTTTAAAATGACACAACCACCTACAAAGTGATAACAGTTATGTTTTCACACACCCTGTAAGTATTTCTGAAGCATTTACAGGTACAAAAAGTTCAGAGGCCATGTAGCTTACAGGGCACACAAACTGACAGTCAGATGCACACATACGTGTGAACATATAGACACCAGCGTGTAAACTAAATTTACTGTCTGGGACAAGCCATATTTGCATAGATGTTTATTTCTTTTTAATGCAGGATATACATAATTTATTAGTGTTTTACTTGCAGCCTAGGATGCCCCTTTAAAAACAGACACGGTCATTATAATAATCGTCTTATGCTCATGTCACTTTTAAAATAAATTTAAATTAAAACAAATTACTTTTGAAAATGATTATTTTAAAAAGTAATACCTTTCTATTTATTTCTTAATTGTAACATTCTGTGGCTCTGTACAACGGGAAAAATCAGGTGTAACACAAAGGATTAAGAATAGGTGGGGGAGTGGATGATTAAATAAAAAGGTAAAGGTAAAATTTCAACAAAAAGAGTGTACAGATTGCATGTTGTTCCAAAGGAATTTGCACATAAATATTGTATGACAAAACGCAAAACGATAGTTGAAGAATGTGCAGAGTTTATAAGCATACTCCAGGTACCATCACAACTTCAATAATTTGAAATGGTATGTGCAGTGTTTTGCTATGAAATGCAGCACATCCAGATATTAACCCAATGTCCTGATTAAGTGGCTAATGTCAATTTAGTGCAACTTTCCATGCACAGAATTGCAGTTGTATCCCAGAGGAGTCAGCCGATGCTCTCAGCCAATGAATGCACGGCTGCATCAGCAGCTGACTTCTGCAGAAGATTTTGTAAAACCAGCTTCAGAGTAAAATAGGAGACATGCGAGACCCAGGTGTGATGGCAAATGTTTTGCTCAATTACAGGGAATGTGTCAAGGTACTCCTGGCAACATAACCACTACAGCAGACTGTTTTATTTATGATGCCTAGGGTAACCCTTTAACTAATTAAATTAAGGAGGTGAGAGTGGGATGCAGTGCTTTAGTGAACAGTAGAAACTACAGAAAATCTAACAGGCAAGGATGGGCATGCCTTAAAGGACCACTCTAGGCACCCAGACCACTTCAGCTTAATGAAGTGGTCTGGGTGCCTGGTCCAACTAGGGTTAACCTAAACTGCTATGTTTACAAATGGGTTAATCCTTCCTCCAATTCCTCTAGCGGCTGTCTCATTGACAGCCGCTAGAGGCGCTTGCGTGATTCTCACTGTGAAAAATCACAGTGAGAGCACGCAAGCATCCATAGGAAAGCATTGATAATGCTTTCCAATGCGACCGGCTTAATGCGCACGCAGCTCTTGCCGCGCGTGCGTATTCAGCCGACGGGGAGGAACGGAGGAGGATCGGAGGCAGAGAGCTCCCCACCCAGCGCTGGAAAAAGGTAAGTTTTACCCCTTTTCCCCTTTCCAGAGCCGGGCGGGAGTGGGTCCCTGAGGGTGTACGAGTATGTTTTCCTGGCACTATAGTGGTCCTTTAAGAACAAGGAAGACCTGTACAAAAGTTTAGTGAGAGAGTGCAAAGGACAGATGTAGGTCACTGTGCGAATGGAAAGATAGATTTTTTTGACAGACACAAAACAATAAGTTCTACCCTGGAATAATTGTGTTTCAGTATGATGACAATCATTGAGTTAGAGGGGATGGCTGACATCAATTCTTTACATATTTCTTTGCACAGAGGGTCATTCATTGACAGAGTGATCAGCTGATGCTCTGATCCAAAGAATATTTGATGGGATAGACAGACATTCAGGTTCTGCAATTCTAGCACTTCACCCAACAGGACAGGACACCAGCAACTGGCAGGGATTATGTAAGAGGGCAAACCTTTGCAATAATATTTTTGCCATTACCAGGAAACTACACCAGAGTACTCCTGGCATGATGCTTGGACTATCCCTTTAAAAAAGTTTCATGGAACCTCTGCTCTGCCCATAAAAGCTGCTATATAGGGATTTAGATTAAATCAGCATGTTAAAAAGTCACATAGAAAAGTATCAGCGCACCCAGATTTGCTAATAATTGCCTTGTCTGGACAGTGCAAACATTAATTTGGAAAGGACTTCAAATGGGAGTATGTTTATCTTATATTGGATTGATTGGGGGCTCTGTTTAAAACAAATGTTCACTCTTTAGGCTGTTTTTGCAGTTTCTGTTTATTCCCTTATTTGTGCCAAAATACTCCTTACAGCAGGTTTTCAATAACACTTTTAGTTCGATTTTGGTTCTTTTTTTGTGGTCACAAAAGTGTCACATCCAGTATTAGAAATAAATATGCAAAAATGAGCCTTCTTCCCCCCAGACAAATTTTTACATGCTGTCAGAGTGGCAGATTTTTCTTATTTTCGGAATGTAATCAGTGTTAAAATCTTCAGAATAAAAAAAAATAAAAAAAAATTATATGGGCACATTAGAGAAAAGGCCGAAAAAAAGCATCAATGCATAAAGGTTAGAGTAAAAGTTTTATACATAAGAAAATGGTGCATGCGATGATTTGTATGCATAACCCCCACAATGTACAAATATGTCAAAAACATCAAGTGCAGAGAATGTCACCTTGTGTGTGACAGGTTCATTTAATAATAGACTTTACTAATACTAGTGTACACAAAAGCACATAGCATATACTGTGCATAGAGGTGAAAAAAAAAAAAACCACAAGAAAAAAAAAACCACAGACTTCATAAACCAGTCTGTCTGCATTTCTTTATAAAGGTTTCCTGGTTTGGCAATTCTGATAAGGAAAGGCAGTAGCAGTGTTAGTAGTGCATGGCTCACCTGAAGCAGTGCAATGAACAGAAAAAAGGAATTGGCAGCTCGTCTGAACTGAGAATAGAGAAATCTTGGCAGAAAAGTGATGGCATTATATTTTGCAGTGCTGGAAAACAGAAAAGGAAAGGAGTGTTTTAATGTCTTTGTAGGTAGAGGTCTATAGAAATCCATTCATAATACTCCGCAAGCTAAGAGATCGTAATGCTATCGACAGTAGTAATAGGTATCACTTCAAAAGCAAAAATCTTGAACAGTATATATACACACACACACACACACACATACCAAAAACCAACCTTTTACTGGCCTTAACATGAAATAAAATTATCATCTCCAGGAATGTTGAGCAGTTTCCCCAAAAATTTAATTTGCTGTACATTAATATACTCAATGGGGGATTCTAGAGGGTAGCTGGTAAGGGAACAAGCCTAAATAAATCACAGCTTTTATATGCTGGATTCATTATCTTTTACTTCATTCAGGGACGGACTGACCACTGGGCATTCATTCACAGATACACAAACATATTGATTCCCATTACATCTTAATCTTGCTCTCACTGAAGTCATTATAGGGGCAGGAGTATCTAGGGGCCATCTTACCCATTTTACAAAAGTTTAATTCCTACGTTTGTCTTCTGGCACCAGACAGCTCTGCTTCCTGTCTAACTTTCTCCTGGCTACCTCCACTGCAGGAAGGTGGGCTGGCGGCCAGTGATACGCCGAGTGAGTCAACCAACGCTCGCAGCCTATCACAAGCAACAAGGCAACAATTCCTGTTCTGTGTGATGGTTAAACAGAGGAGAGAGGAGGCAGTATGGATGGGTGCCAGGAACCCACTTTGGAGTTAAACCACTTGAAAAAGGTTTAACACCTGGAGGTAAAAGATAATTAAGTTGCTTTGAGGGTGGAGAAACAATTTAAGGTGTACTGCCAGATGAAAGTATATTAAACTCCAAGGGCCCCAGGTATGCAGTGCCATTAGTCTGCTTTTATATCTTATTTTAAAGAAGCACGTTAAATAAATTACAGAAATAGCAAAACTTACAGAGTTCATCGCTAGTTGAGAATTCAAAGAAAATTTAACATTTTTGGTCAAAAGCAGCTCAGTTTGAAATGAATTGAGCTGCCTGTTTCCACCTCTTCTTATCTGGCCCATAACAACAGAGAAGTATAACTTATGTGATATGATAACTTCCAGTGCTGTGACTCAGCAAGTACTAGCAACAGCAATGGAGAAGGTACTGTAGCCTTTGTGCAAGTCCCTTCTGCAGACAAACATAACAAGCTGGTCAGGAAAGATCTTCAAATCAGAGATATACCACACAGTAGCCATCAATAAGTAGGAAGCGCTTGCCAAGTACAAAACACACATTCTGTAATGTGCACACTTATTTATGGTCAGAAATCTACAATGCTAATGTAAAGAAAGCACAAGAAAAAAAAAATAATAGATCTTTTCTCCTAATCACCAATACCATAGCCCTTACCTGACATGATTGTTGCAGAATTTTGCCAGTTGAGGCTGGTTAATGAAAATGGTTCTCACTTCTTCCTGGTCAGCTAGAGAGGTCTTTTCAGACACATCATCTGTCTTCTCATAACCTACAGAGAGTACAATGAAGGCATATCAGTGAAAGTGAGTGATAGAGTAGGTTATGGCAAAAAAAAATGAACATACTTCATATTGAGAAAGTGTGGTACCATGAAGCAAGAGAAACACAGAAACAACTTTATTAGAAATCAAATGCAAGCTTTTAGACCATTTAAAATCTTACCCACTTAAAGTTACACTCTAAGCACCATAACCACTACAGTCAGATATTGTGTTTATGGTGTCATGATGCCCATGGTTTTGTATCAAAGCATTTGATTAGTTTGAAAAACAAACCATGGCCAATGTCTCTCATTGTCCTTATCACTACTGGAGACGTTCCACTCCCACTTCAGAAATGTTAATCTTGTGCAAGTGTGGGTGGCACTCATTGGTTAAGCAGATCAGCTGATGTCCTTATTGGACACCATCCTAATTTGGATAAAAATTGATATATTGCTAATATAGAATTATCTTTGTGAAAATACTCTGCCTAGTATTGGTAGTCCAAACCATTAAAACTACAGTGGGCAGTGCCTATGGTGCTTATTTGTCATATTGATACCTAAAAACATATATCAAAGCAAGCCATATTCACTTACATGTTTGTGCGAACATTATACATTGATTAATTGTTATTTGGTATTAATTGTTGTGACAAACGTGCCCATGCCACGAGCTCCTGGAGGAGCCTGCTAGCTAGCCTCCTGCCCCAGGACTACAGGCCGTATTCAAAGACCCTGTTCGGGAGTTAAAACTCCCCAGCCACCATTAGTAGCTTACCCTGGGTGCCCCTGGTTCGGCACATTCCCTTCATGCGAATGTAACGAAAGCTGGCTCTCTGGCGGCCATTTGCATGAACCAAACCCACGAATTAGTCAGAGCACCCCATATTGCGGCCGCAAGAGCTCTTGAAAGTTGCTTGGCAAAAGCACCAAACACCCTGGAACTGTTTTGGGCATAGGACCACATCTGCGGCCGGTCAGAACTTTAACACGGTGGCATTTCCCTTACACTGCATGGATTTGAGCGCTATTTGGAGAACTTGGGCGCTCAGATCAGGGCTATTTTTGTGGGGTTAGGTTATGTTTTATGAAATTTTGGGGTATTTTTATATTTTATATTTTTAGGTTTGCCTCTCTGTTCCTGGGAGATAATTAGCTTACCGATCTAACGCAATTATCTCACAGGCAAGGAGATTTATAGGAGGAGCTTGCATTGTATTGTGTGGAGACCCCCTGCTGGGAGTTATGTATATAAGTAGGCCACTGTACCCTTCATCAAGTCTTGGCTGATGTTTGGGTAGCTCAGAGCTTTTATCACTGCTTCACTTGGGATTTGGGAGAACTACAGCAGATATAGTCAGAGTGCAGGAGATCCGTTACAATTGTTATTTGGCATTTTTATAGCACCAACTTATTCAGCACCACTTTCCAATATTATAAAGGGGGGAAGTTAACATGAGACAAAATTGTTTAACAGGAACAATACTTACAATGCACAGGAGAGAAAGTATATAGACACAAAAGGAAGGGCAGCATAGGGGATAACATCCAAGTGACAGGGTAGAATAGCAGAATTAGAAGGTGAAAATGAACTGGAGCTTGGACCCACTAGTTAGGTTTATAGGTCTGATGAATTGTACTAAACCTGGGAGGGCAAAGGCTGTTCTGAAGAGAGGAGTTTTAAGGGACTTCTTAAAGGATTGAAGTCTGATAGGGGATGGCAGGCTCTTTCATGAGAATGAAGCTGCCTGCAAGACATCCTGTAAGCACGTGTTAGCAGCATGGTCATGAATAGCAGAAAGGAGAAGTTTACCTATAAAAAGATCGAGGAGTACTGCACACAAGTAAAAAAACAAAAACAACTACTTTGGAGCTCTGTGTAGGGTGGTTCGACATCCACCAGGAATAGCATAGAAGTAGAGGTCCACAGGCATCACATTGTAGGGTGAAGATAAAGGTATTCTATTAAAGATCAAAGGACAAAAAGATATGTTACAGCCTTTAGGCCTTAATCATGTATCACTGGAAGAGCAAAGTGGTTGAGAGCTTTGTACTTAAACATTAATATGTCATGGAATCCTTTAGGGTACAGGAAGCCAATGAAACGATTGACAGAAGAGTGATGTGTGAGAGGAGCGACGGGAGCGAAAAATGTGCCTAGCAGTAGCACTCATAGTTCATAGAAAGGCAGTATGGTTTCTGGAAAGACCAATTAGGTGATTATTACGGTACTTACAAAAGAGGACTCACATTTAATAGGTAAAACAGGAATGTGGAAAGGTTTTAAAATAAATACAGAGAGAAAATTAATTAAAATCCAGTGGTAACAGGATTCTTAGACCTATAGGTAATTTAAATAAAAGGTTTTATTTTTCTCATTTTACAAGATACCCCCCATTTTCTAAGTTCCACTATTGGAATAACATCTCATTCTCTATTCTTCAGGTTACAATGGTTGACAACTTGAAATCCGTTAACCAGAAAACTATAAGAATCCCTGATGCCAATTAACCAGAAAAATACACGGCAAGCTGCTGCGTCTTGAACAATTAAGAGTGATAGCAGACACAGCATGTCATTCAAAACAGTCAAAAAAAAAAAAAAAAAAGTCAATTCAAGGCAACCTGCAACAATATTCACAGACACTGTGATTAAAGGGGAAACTATACCGTTTTTTTGTTAACTTTACAGCTTGCAAACCATGTTAGAAAAATTGCTCCAAGATACAATAAAATGTCCCAGACAATGTTAAGTACTGTAATGTACTGTATATATTTTTAAAGGGTCACCACAGGCACGGTTACCATCTCATCAAATTGGTTATAGTGCCTGGAGTCTCCGTGCGGTCACTTAATTCAATGTTAAACCATTTTCGAGCAGTTTAACACTGAATTAGGGACACTGGATACCCACACTAGAGGTACGGATAAAGCAGAGTTTACACTCGGCACGCGCAACAATTCATACCAGCAATGTGTATGCCTTGACGTGGCAGGTGAGCTTATATATTCAAATGGCCATTAGAATTAAACTAAAGAACCTCCATTTTTGTTTAAATGCACATGGGGATTTAGGCCAGAGCGCAGGTAACGTTTTCTTTGTTTTTACTATGTATTTTAAGCTGTTGGATACTAAGCCACTGCTGCTGTAAGCGCGGTGCTTTCTTTGTGTTTGTATGTGAAATTAGGTAACACTTTCAAAAAGTCACCATAGCCCATTTCTGCGTGGGCTAATGCTTCCTCACAAGCATGGGCAGCACAGATGAGATGGGTTGCTGGTGACTTCTTCAGTGTTAACCTGTGTTTAATGGTTTTATGCTGAAGAAAAAGGACTTTGCCAGGGACTTCAATGGAATGTACAGTGACACTTTTTTTTCTCGTTTAATTTGCACTAAATAATATTTCACTGTCTCCCTTCTTAATATTAGTTAAACGCTAAAAAAAAAATAAAAAATATATATATAAAAAAATATATATATAAAGAATATTTTCAACTCTACATATGTCTAATGTAATGTTTTAAAAAGCATTAAGACTTTTGTAATACAACACTCCTGGGGAACAAACGACAAAAAAAGTGGGTAAAAAAATAAATAAATGACAGATTCTCAAATTTTCCCTCAAATACTTTAACTCTTTTACCTCGGACAACCCAATGAAGAAGCCTGGGTGCTGTGGTCCTGTGATATAAACATTGTAGTTTGCAGTTTAAACACCTCTTCAGTGATTGTTATAATTACAGCAATTGGAAGCGATTCCTGCTGCAGAAACAGAGTAAAAAATTCTGTCACATGACTTCCGTCCCCATTGATTCAATGCTTTCCTAAAGGGAAATTTCTTGTGCATGCACATCAGTTGCTCCTCTATTGTTATTCCTCATTGCTTTATCTATCTCCAAGCTATTAAAAAAAATAAATAGAATAAAATCACTTTGACCCTTTTTATGCCTAATGGGAAGAGGTGGACATATAAATTTAGGGACAGGAATATGAAAGCATTGGGAGTACTGGTTTATATTACCAACACGGTGTTCCTTTAAATAGCTAGTTATTCTGTAATGTATTTAATGAAATAACCACTTGTTGACACTACTTTGATTATGAGATGTATCCTTACAAAGTTGCAGTATACAATACAGCGCATTTATTATTATTGCCATTTATATAGCGCCAATAGATTCCGTAGTGCTTTACAATAATTTAAGAGACGGGAGTAAACTATAAATAGGACAATTACAACAAAACTTACAGGAACGATAGGTTGAAGAGTACCCTGCACAAACGAGCTTACAGTCTATAGGAGGTGGGGTGTAAAACACAATAAGACAGGAATAGTGTTTTTATTCTTGAAAATCAGTTATTTTTCTTAAACCACTGAAAGGGGTTTCATTATATTGTAACATTAGGTAACATTATTATTGCTTTAAAAAAAAAAAAAGACTCCAAATTCCACCATTCGCCCCATTAAGACTGCATTTAACTTTCTTAAAAAGGGCTTTCATTCGTTTGATTATTTGTTCATAATGTGTTGTAGGAACACAATCACACAATGTTACCTTTTTGTATACACAAGGACTTTATTTGTTTATTCTTTTACAAGGTTTTGATCCAGTCAGCACACAGCACATGTTTGTATTTCTAGCTAATTCAATGTGTGCTAGTTGCAAAGCAAACAACCGTTCAACGGATACTGACAAATCCATGCAATCCACTAAAGCATACATTGCCATCTAAAAGATGTAATGAAAGGTGTCTTTCCTCCACTTTCACGCTATCATACGAATAACTTTTTAGAAATGTAAAGCCCTCTAAGATATGTTGACACTGTAAAAAGAATAGCAATAAACCTGAAAAAAAAACTTCACCGCTCTACATATTTCAATGATGCCCCTTCTGGATTAATCTTGTTAAAAGCATTTATTATTTCTCCTTGAACTCCACTTTCTGCTGATACTAATAATTTGCCATTCTGTGTTATCCAGTGAGCCAATTAATGCAAAAGTTAGAGCGGAAACTGTAGCATCCAAACAAACTTAGGGCTGAAGGTTCTTTGAACCTCCATAACGACTAGGATAATACTGACCCAGAATGTACTGACCCAGGAAGCACCTCTAGTGATCGTCTGAGTGACTGCTACTGGAGGTGTCCCTAGACAGCAACTTAAACGCTGCCTTTTCTCTGAAAAGACAGTGTTAACATTAAAATGAATGCAGAGACTGACAATACTCATCAGAACAACTACATTAAGCTGTAGTTATGCTGGTGCCTACAGTGTCCCTTTAATCATGATAATCACCCTAAGCATGTACTGATGCATCTTATCTGCCATTTTTATCAGTGTAAACAACATTGGGCAACCTCTAAACCTTTGATTACCACGTTGCGATGTGTTTCTCTGCAAAGTAGTCATTTTTGGCATGGTATGAAAACCCTTAAAGTTTACCATGAACTACGTTACATGTTTTCATATTTATACTGTCAGATATTTGCATAATTGTCAGATGAGGATTGTTTGATTGCTAAAGGGTACTAAAAGTACAATTAAAATGACCAACAACTAGTAGTTCAATCTTCCCTTCTTTGATGCAGTAGGCTACTTAAATGATTGTATAGAACGTCAAGGCTTGCTTACAAATTTAACCCCTTAAGGACCAAACTTCTGGAATAAAAGGGAATCATGACATGTCACACATGTCGTGTCCTTAAGGGGTTAAAGACCATGTTGTATTATATCTAGGGCTCTGAACTTTACCATTAGACCTTAAAAAGTGATTGGATTTGTAACAGATCACCTGACACCCCGACTGGGTACCTCCGTTGAAGGATGCTCTTAGCGCTTCCTGAGGGCTCCAAGCACTCCAGCCAACACCATAACCACCATAGACTCCTTCAAAGAGCAAGACAGGAACAAGCTCTTAGAGCTTAGAAGTGACCTAAAAAACTCCTGCTTAAATAACTCCTGACTTGTCAGTGATTTCCAAGTGCATGAAATTAGGAGCATGACGACCAGAAAGACAGGTTGCAAAGACAATGGAGAATTATAAAATGAAAGTAACAGGAACCTCAATATATAAATAACAGTTAAAGAAATAATTCCACATTACTTGACTCCTTATTGCTTGGCAGCATCAGGGGATTCATGACATAACTACAGAAGGCTGTCCCTTTAAAAGCAGCCCTTTCCATCTGCACCCAAACCCATTTTATTGCATACTTTACAATATTATTCTTGTTTTATTTTGGTGTGTAAAAACCAAAATTACTCGCCATCATGATTACACTGATCAGACTCCCTCCCCCGTCACGACATCTTCACCTTGCAAGTGTAAATCTGCCAGATATGACCATTACACTTTCCCATCATTCCTAGGGAAAGGACACTGATTGGTTAGAGCAGTGATTCCCAAACAAGCCCTCACTGCACCCTTACCAGTCCACGATTTGTGGATTACCCAGTTGTGTCCAAGGTGTGTTTGTTTTTCTTCTTTTTCTAAAAACACCAACAGATGAAGCAAGTAAATATGGAAAAAACAAAACAAAAAAAAACACAATCAGCCTGCAAAGTGAGGCAACTGTCTCATTCAAGCTAAATCTAAAATTTTCTTGAATGAGTCTTTTTAAAGTGCTGCATGTCCCTTTAACTAGATTGCTATTACTTAACAGTTCTAAATATAAATCAGAGTAATAATATACATAGATAAGGAATATGTCACCCAAGTTCTTTGAGACTGTCATTTACTAGTAGTGAATATTTTGAGATATTTTTGAAGAAGTGGAACAATATATTTATTATGGTGCCTAGGCCCTCCCATCGCAATCCTGTTCAGACCAGTCATGACCAGAGCACAAACTGCATTGGTGGGCTATTAGATTCTGGCATTATTTTGATAATCAAAAGTGTAGGTTTCAGCTTCAAAAGTGGAAGATTGATAATCTGTTGCATTATTGAGACATTAAATACAATTATTTAGTGCAAAAATCATGGAAAACATATAATAAACTGTGCCAGTACACAAGTGTTAATTATCCATCAATGTGGCCAAAGTGGGTAAAAAGTCCCTCGTCACTGGGAAAACGTTTTATTAAAGAGACACTAGAGGCACCCAGACCACTTCAGCTCATTGAAGTGGTCTGGGTGCAGTGTCACTATAGCACTTAGTGCTACAATGTTACACATTGCAGTTTTAGAGAAAACTGCAAGGTTTACATTACAGCACTAAGATAGTCACTAGAGGTGCTTCCGGAATGTTACCGGACTGTTGATTCACTGATGCTGGACATCCTCACGCACTGCACTAAGGACATTCAGCGTCAGCTATTTCCTCATAGGAAAGCATTGCTTCAATGCTTTTCTATGATGAGAGCCTAATGCATGCACGGCACCTGCTGCGCATGCGCATTAGTACCCACTCATTGAGTGATGGAGGAGTCGCTTCTGGGTTCAGGTAAGTAAATAAAGATTTTTAACCCTTTATTCACCATGGCAAGGGGTGGTGGGGGCAGAAGGGAAGAGGGAGGCAGAGGGAGCTATAGTGCCAGGAAGTCAGCTTTGCATTTTTTGGCACTATAGTATCCATATAAGCCAACTTAATATCGCCAAATCACATGTAATACTTTGTTTTTGACTGAGATTTCAACTGTTTACATACACACATAATACGGCTGGGATTTCTACGCAGTATCTTAACTGTTCCTAGAACTGCACTCTTCTGAACAGCAATCTTAGATGTCCCACCTGGAATCTGTTGAAGCCACTCCCCCAACTTGGGAGTCATAGACCATAGTGCTCCTATCACAACTGGGACTTAGTTCTTCTTTCAGTACTTTGTATTTCTCCACATTTCCTGTTCCTTTTTCCTGATTTTATAGTCACTGGGTATTGCCACATCCACCACGATTGCAGTCTTTTGTTCCTTGTCTACCACCACGATGTCGGGTTGGTTAGCCAGCACTCGCTTGTCTGTCTGGATCTTGAAGTTCCACAGGATCTTAGCCCGGTCATTCTCAACTACCCTTTGTGGTATCTCCCATCTGGACTTAGGCAGGTCAAATCCATATTCTGTGCAGATGTTTCGGTACACAATCCCAGCAACTTGCTCTGCTTCAGTATGTCACAGTACATGTTGGCATTCATTAGTGCTGCCGGCACTGGGGAGCTACAGTTTATTGAGGGAACCATGAATACCAACATGTACTGTGACATACTGAAGCAAAGCATGATCCCCTCCCTTAGGAGACTGGGCCGCAGGGCAGTATTCCAACATGATAACGACCCCAAACACTCCTCCAAGACTACCACTGCCTTGCTAAAGAAGCTGAAGGTAAAGGTGATGGACGGGCCAAGTATGTCTCCAGACCTAGCATCTGTGTGGCATCCTCAAACGGAAGGTGGGAGAGCGCAAGGTCTCTAACATGCACCAGCTCCGTGATGACGTCATGGAGGAATGGAAGAGGACTCCAGTGGCAACCTGTGAAGCTCTGGTGAACTCCATGCCCATGAGGGTTAAGGCAGTGCTGGAAAACAATGGTGGCCACACAAAATATTGACACTTTGGGCCCAATTTGGTCATTTCCACTTAGGGGTGTACTCACTTTTGTTGCCAATGGTTTAGAGATTAATGGCTGTGTGTGGAGTTATTCTGAGGGGACAGCAAATGTACACGGTGTAGCAGAGTGTCATTTCTTCAGTGTTGACACATGAAGATATAAAATATTTTTTTCTTTGTATTGCTACTTTCTCATGGGTAACCACCCTTAAAGGACCACTAAAGGCACCCAGACCACTTTAGCTCAATTAAGTTGTTTGGGTGCCACATTCCTCCTAGTTTTAACCCTGCAGCTGAAAACAGTTTCAGAGAAACTGCTATGTTTACACTGCAGGGTTAATCCAGCCTCTAATGGCTGTCTCCCTGACAGCCACTAGAGACCGCTTCCGCGATTTACACAGAGTAAATCACACTTATTTGACATCCTCACGGAGTCCACCGTAAAAAACGATCCCCATTGAGTAATGCTTTCCTATGGGCCGGTTTGAATGCACGCTCATTCGGATCCACTCGGAAGCTGTCGTCAATGGAGGAGGAGAGGTCACCAGTGCCGAGGGAGCCTGGTTCTGGATTTATTTGTCCCCCGGAATGGGGGCCTAGTCTTCTAAACGCTCTATAGGAATACAAATATGTATTCCTAACGGCATAGTGTTCCTTTAATAATGTGTTTATGCAACTCTACCATGCTTCTATAGTGTCACAGTGTCACCTACTACAGCTGTGACAGGAAGATCTCCCAGTGATAAAAGGACTACAGGGGCACAAGCAGGTGGAGTCATCTGTAACATCTTAGTATGTGAGGTTAGGAAACCATTTGGGTACACACACAAAAACACTTGTTTTGTTGTTTTTTTCCCCCCCATACTTTTATTATTCAAAAAAATAAATAAGGAAGAAAAGTGCTCCAACTTAACATATAAACCCTTGAGGTTATTTCAGGCCAGTAGAAACAGTATTTCAGTTTAAGAATGAATTGTGGTTTTTAAAACCCTTTTATATGAACATGTTTTGATCTTGGTGGGATCGATGTTGTGATTAAATTAAAGTGTCAGGATTGATGTTCAAATACAGGATATCACAGTAGCATCTTTTTTGTTACGGGTGAAATTAAAGCCTTACACTTGTCCATTTATTTATTGAGGTGATTTAACGAAAAGGTCTTTTAGACAGGCATGTTACTTGGACTGAAAGAAAAGCTTTGGGTCTTCATTCAGTCTTTGGCATAGTTTTTTAGGAAGGAAATTAATTTCTCCTACCCTGTTTCTTTGAATGGACTTTTTCACAGGAATTAGGTCTATTCAACCGCATAGACTAAAAGCCATTATTACAGGCCTACCATATAATTACCTTTAAAAATATTATATAGCATTTAGTGGTCTATGAAGAGACCATTATTTTACAATCCATTTTCATATTTTTTTTGAAGCACAAATTATATATTCATGTTGCGTTTTTCTCCACACTAATCTCTACTTTGAAATATAATATAATATATATTTTTTATTTTTTTATGGCAAATGGGGTTGGGGCTTAATACCACTAAGGACAGGGGCACGACAGAGTTAGGAATGCAGGTTTGTATTCCCAACACTATAGTGTTCCTTTTAAAAAAAAAAAAAATAATATATATATATATATATATATATCTTACAGGAAAGGATCTAATTGGCGATTGACACTCATGTGCCATAGGTCCCCACTGCATTAGAGAGAACAGAGATCATCAGTCAGGATAATCTCACAGTGGGCAGACTGTCTTCCAAGATGAAACTGGCTCAATCAATGGATTACAGGTCAGTTTAAATGATTTGGGTTTTGCCATTTTGTTTAGGGGGTCATAAACCAGATTAGGATACACAAGATCCAGCACACTCACTCATCCACTAAACAAAAACTTCAACTTTGATTATTTAATTTTTTTTTAAAACATCTAATCTAGGCAAAAATTAAGTGGGTTTAGTAACCGTATGTGATCATACAATGCATAAGCCTGCCATGTCAATGTACCCCCATCTTTGGCAGGTTCTACTCTCAGTCTAATGTTTGCTCTTATGAGATTAACCCACTTACTTCAGGGGTGAGGGGAATCCAAGTGCTGGAATGAAGTGATCTGAGATCACTTCCTCTATGTGCTGCAATGCATAAATTGAGGATTGTCCTTAATCCCTGCAATACACAATATCCACACAAACTACATCCTTCACAAACACAATGCACCCATGTACACACACTGCACCCCCCACACACACACACACACATCCCCCTAGGTCAGGTAAGTTGTCAAACTGTTCGACTACTTACCCTGAGAGGGCACCACAATAACCCACACACTACCTCACACAACGAACCCCATGCGCGCCTGCACACACACAACGCACCATACACACACACTGCACATCCTTCAAAAAACACAATGCACCCCTGTACGTGTACGTACACATACACACACTACTGCACCTGTCCACTACGACAGCCCCTATCCCAGCAGATCTCAGGTAAGTTGTCAAACTGTTCTTAAAACAGTTTGACTTTTTACCCTGAGAGGGCACCATGGCCACTACAGAGTGCTGTAATGGTTATTGTGTCTGGATTGTTTCTTTAAAAAAAAAAAATCTACCAGTGCCCCTCCCGAGATTAGGTTCTGGATCCACCCTTGACAGGGAAACATTTGTGCTGAACAGTGGCCCAGTATATGCCGCAGTGCTGTACATGTATACAATCTAGACATTTTTTTTATTTTTAACTTGGGGCACCTTGGAAAAATATTGAAATATTAAGGGAGCCTTGAACCTAAAAAGTTTGGGAACCACTGGATCAACTGGTTGTTCCCTCAATCTGATTTTATAAAAGTAAAAGCATTAACTTTAGTGTTAACATTGGAGTGTTCCTTTAGCTAACCAGCCTTTACATGGCAATCTGAATATACCAGTGACTGATTAGTAGTAGTAAAAAAAAAAAAAATTTAGTGACAAACTTATCAGTAGATAAGTTTATGACACATGGAGATACGAGAAGCAAGTTTATGTCAAAGGCTTTTTTTCCCAAAAATGTAAATATACAATGGGAAACACACAAGTTATTACTTTAGTTCAAGGAAGTTGTCAGAAAAAAAAAATGTATACAATAAAGCTAAATATTTTCATCTACCTTCAAAACAAAACTATATAAATGAAACACGCACGGCAGTTTAAAAAAGGTACAGACTGAGAATCAGAAGCTATTCTATTGGATTTCCTTCATCTCGGTTACTACATTATTAATTTACTATAACAATGTTACTATTTGTACCTATAGTATACTACTGTATACTTTTGTACTCGCAGCTACATGTAATTATTGATAATCTGGCCGGCAAATATTGTAATTTTATCAGACAAATGGCAGGTCTGCTCAACCATTCCCTGCTTCCACCTCCTCCCCCCCTTGCCACTCATAGCTATAAATTTATTTTAAAGAACAGTTTCCCTACTTTTTAGGGCCAGATTTACAATTTACCCCTGCAAGAAGCCCCATTTCATTTTACTCGGCTCAACCCATCCACCCTGGTTCCTTGTACCCATATTGCATGCTCTTTCAGCTCTTTGGAACCAGAGCCAGAGCCAATCACCTCCTTATCACCTTCACATGCCATCAGCTGATGCAGTTAACTCTCTATGCCATCTCATACAAATTCCTCTGTTACCATTTTTCTCACCTCCACGGTTTACCTTTAGCTTGTAAGCTCATGGGCAGGGCCCTCTACCTGTTGTATCGGTCTGTTATTATGGTTTTGTCTTTTTCCCAATTGTACAGCGCTGCGGTATGTGTAGCGCTTAATTAATACCAGTAATAAATAAATACCATCTATAGTGGGCAGGGGAGCCCAGTTTCACTTGCAAGCTATTTGTCTGTCACAGTGTAAAAAGAAGCACCTTCCCCGACCCCAAAATACGCTGTACAGGTTATTGTGCCAGGGGTTTCCTTGATCCCTTCCAGCTTAGCTAACAGATTGAAAACTTACTGGGGGCCACAGCTTTTCAAGGAGGGTATAAAATGTTCACTATGCTAGTCACTGCAAGACTAGCTCATTCACCAAGAGCACTGGCTGAGCACTCTCAGACAATGATCGACTCCCTGCACTGATCTAATCTGCAGGGAGTCGCTCACTGGCTGAGAGGGCTCAGCAGGAGGTAACACGCATTTACGTTGTCAAACAAACATTCTCAATCTGTCTAGTTACCATGGGAGGGAGTCAGTAGGATGTAGTGATTATGGTGTTTGGAGGGTTTCTCTGACACTATGGAGTATGGGAGTGAAACTATTGTTTTATTTTAATCAGTAAAATATAATACTTACTAAACCGCTGACTAGTATGACCCTGAAGAAGGATATGCAAACTTCACCCAGTGTCATACACCATAACGGCAAGCTTGAGAAATGGACATCGATGCAGAATTTTAAAAAGATATATATCACTGACAGAACCGGAAAGGCAAGAATGGTAGACACATATTTCAATAATGTGGATCCACCTAGTCAAAACATTAATGAGGTGATCATGCAGGTTACACAGAGAAAATTCTTCAGAAGTTCAATTTCTTCCTCCCTCAATCTTTTCAAACAAAGAAACATTAGCAGACTTCCTTTCTGTTTTGGTTTTATGGCATTGCACAAATGAACATGAAAAACAAAATTAAAAGTCCTCTTTTTAACATACAGATGACAAAACTAAAACTGTATCAGAACAGAACGGAAATAATATTTAGACTCCGCTATATGCAAAGCTTGGCTGTATTGGGCAAAAACCTGCAAATCTCTGGTCAGGTCTCCACTATAAAACTTTGACAATAAAAGGAGCATTAGAGACTGATGCACATGCTTGGCAAGAGTATATAAATTATTCTTAAAGAAAATCATTATGCTGCAACCTCACATGACAGATTTACTCACTGAAGAGGAAGTGCCTCTTGTGGCTATCGACATTGCAGAGTAAAACTGACAGAAGCTCTGCACTAAAGTCACTTCATTGAGATAAAGTGGTCTGTGTGACTTCAGTGGTCTTTTAAAGGAAAATTCCAAATTTTATAACCCCTACATGGAGTTATAGCAGTTATGGTGTCAGGAGTGCTCTGGCATACAGCGCGCCTCCATCCACTGTAAGGAGTCTCTCCCCACCTCCACTACCAATGCCAGAGAGTTGCAAGTTCCTCAGCAGAGTGGACCTGCTTAATTTTTCAAGCCTGGCCTGCTTCCAGCCTTTTAGCCACTATGGAGAACTGTATTCGCTTACAATCTCTGGTCATAGCTTTGCATATGCACTCCGGCTCGAGGACCAGCAGAGTCTCACAGTGAAGCAGCTTATTGAGAACACACAATTACATACTGGCAGGCATGCTGAGCAATTTACATCAGTAACTTATAATTGCTGTAATAATTGTATTATGACACCATGGTAATTACTGTAAGTCAAATACAGAATACAATTATGACATCCTTATTTTTTGCCTTGAGAGGCTGGAAGAGACAAATTTTTCCATGGTATAAATGGCATTGCAAAGCCTTGAATGTTTTGAGCTAAACTTACAACGTAATCATTCAATCTTCAATGCATTTCATAAACACCTGCACTAGCAAATGGGGAGAGAGGGAGAGAGGGAGAGAGGGAGAGAGGGAGAGAGGGAGAGAGGGAGAGAGGGAGACTGCAGATTGGCAACAGGTACAGACAGAGGATGGCTCAGTTCGAAATTAAAAATTTCTCAAAATGTACTCTAAAAAGGACAACTGTCACCACAAAAATATTTCAATACAA